ACACACAGACACGCAGGTGCGCGTCGTGGCGTCGCGAACACGGCAGTGGTGTCTGCTCGCGTGAGCAAATCGCCAGGTATACAGGAGGTCGTGGGTTCAATCCCAACCCTGATGTCTGCTGTATATTTGGAGATTGCATCTCTCTCTCGTCATCATCACGGTGGCTAGGAGATGTTAACTACCTCGCCAGGTATACAGGAGGTCGTGGGTTCAATCCCAACCCTGATGTCTGCTGTATATTTGGATATTGCATCTCTCTCTCATCATCATCACGGTGGCTAGGAGATGTCAACTACCCCGCCAGGTATACAGGAGGTCGTGGGTTCAATCCCAACCCTGATGTCTGCTGTATATTTGGATATTGCATCTCTCTCTCATCATCATCACGGTGGCTAGGAGATGTTAACTACCTCGCCAGGTATACAGGAGAATCTCTCTCATCATCATCATCACGGTGGCTAGGAGATGTTAACTACCTCGTCTGGTTTACAGGAGATCGAGGGTTCAATCCCTAACCCTGATGCCTGCTGTATATTTGGAGTTTGAGTGTCTCTCTCATCATCATCACGATGGCTAGGAGATGTCAACTACCTCGCCAGGTATGCAGGAGGTCGTGGGTTCAATCCCAAACCTGTCGCCTGCTGTATATTTGGATATTGCATGTCTCCCTCTCTCCCCGTGCCCGCGTGGATGTTGTCTTTTTCTCCGGGTCCTCCGCTTTTCCCCACCACGTCTAGAATCAGCGTGCCGTTCAGCGTATTTGTCCGCTATAAAAAAAAAACTTCCCACGCGATGATTACGTAACTTCGTTGAGCGATCATTCGTGACGGCCAGGTTCGCTCCTGAAATGAAAAAAACCTACGCAAGCTCAGCGGTGTGTGCGGGGTGGTGTGGGGGGGGGGGCCTTACCTGTTCGAATTAAAAACAAAGATTTCGTTTAAAGTCCACGTGCTCGCGACCGCTCCGCCGCTCACTCGCCCACCGCTCGTGGGAAGCCGTCACATCGCACCCCCCGCCTGCACCTTCCTGTTTCCCTTGGCAAGGGGCGGGGGAGAGTGGCTGCCGTAGACCGAGAGCGGCCACGGATGAGGAGGAGGAGGATGAGAGGGGGGAGCGTCGACATTGCGAGCTTCACCGCACACCGCGCCATAGACGGCCGCCGCCTGGGAACGACAGCTCGCCTCCTTGTCCTTCACAGGTTGTTGCTGTTGCGTCGAGCGCTGTCAGCGAGCAGCGCCTATGAGGGCCGGAACGCCGCACGAGCGATGCCTGGAGCATGATGATGTTGTTGCTATAAAGGGGCCCTAAATAAAATAAACATGTAAATATTAACACACGCATTTTTTTACTCGCATAGTAAAGTAATTGTAATTTTTCATTTGCTATACGGCCAGATAATACGACAAATCGCTAAACTTAAACACCCAGTCGTTCATAAGAGTTGAAGGCGGTATGGTACTAGAGTAATAGAGCAAGTGCAGAATCACTGAACCGGAATTGATAGATTTCGATTTAAAGCTTTCGTGACTGCAGGGATTCATCTTCTTGGTTCTTTCGGTAAAGTCACGTAGAATGGAAATAATAAAATAATAAAAATAAAACATAAAATAAATTCTCACGATGTTTCGGCCACAACGCAAGCAGCCGTCCTCAGGTGGATAACAGGTCTGTCGAGAAGATAGCGTCTGAATGACAAGCCCCAGGCTTGGAGGGGCTCTTGAAAGTGCGGGGCCCGTAGCTACTACACATAAATAGTAGCTACTACATATGTAGCTACTATGGCACTGGAGCGATGGAGCAGGTGGCCAACACGAGAGCGGACAGCCTTTGTCTCCCCGGTGGCGATGTTTACACATGGCACCAGGTACTCAGTTGAGGCTGAGTCGACCTAGAGGAGTGAATCCCATGAGCGATCCAGATATCCGTCGCTGGCGTTGGCCGTGAACGGGAATCGAACCCTCGAGTCGCCGGATTCGTAGCGCGCTAACCACTGCACCACCGCTCGCCCCCGCCACCCCCCCTCTTACTTAACATCCCCCCCCCCCGCCCCTCCTCTGTGTCTCTCCCACGCCACGTGTCCCAGGCTCTCTCCACGGGCACGCGCTTCCTCAACAGGATGCGCCGCTGTCTGCAGCGAGCGCACGCGCGTTTCATTGTTGAGAGCATCACCACCCCACCCCCACCCACTTCCCCCACCCACCTCCCCCCCACCCCCACCCACTTCCACCACCCACCTCACCCCCACCCCCCCACCCACCTCCACCCCCCCACCCACCTCCACCCCCACCCACTTCCCCCCCACCCACCTCCCCCCCACCCCCCACCCACTTCCCCCACCCACCTCCACCCCCACCCACTTCCCACCACCCACTTCCCCCACCCACCCCCCACTCCCCCCCCCCCCATCCACCTCCCACCCCCCCACCCACTTCCCCCCCATCCCCAGCCCCCCACCCACTTCCCTCACAACCCCACCCACACACCTCCCCCCACCCCCACCCACTTCCCTCCCACCCCCACCCACCTTCCCCCCCCACTTCCCTCCCACCCACTTCCCCCCACTCCCACCCCCACCCACCTCCCCCCCATCCCACTCACTTCCCTCCCACCCACCTCCCCCCACTCCCACCCCCACCCACCCCCAGACCACCCCCCACCCACCTCCCCTCCACCCACCACACACCCCCACCCACCCACCTTCCCCCCACTTCCACCCACTTTCCCCCCACCCACCCCCCACCCACTTCCCTGCTGGTTGAAGGTGTCCCTACACCGTGCCGATCATGAGGAGCCCTTCAACGGCAGGAGGACTTAGTCCAGCAGTGGACCAGATACTGGCTGTCATTATTTTTGTTAACGGTTAGAAGTCAACGTTGCAACAACAACATCCTCTGTCGCAAGCATGGGAACGTTGCACGTATCGATGTTTCTATTTGTAGCTTACGCAAATGCTTTGGCATGAAATATTAGCAAACAATGCTATTAATACCAGCTTCCCTTGCTGTCGGGAAATCCCTGATGGCACAAAGGGGTAAGCAACGCCGCCTTGACTCTACGTGGGCGCCTCGGCGGGCTTCGGGAAGAGAAGCGCTCTGAGATCACCGCCAGACGCGGGGGTGGCCGGGTGAGGTGGCCGGGTGGGTGGCCGGATGGGTGGCCGGGGTGAGGTGGTCGGGGTGAGATGGTCGGTGCAATTGGCCGCTATCCGCAGTGCTCCAATTGCCCCGTGAATCGACGAGGCGCTCTCGAGTGTTCTGGAACGTTGCTCCCTCGGAAGTTTTCAATCACACAGATTATGAAAGACATTCAGAGAGCCGTGTGGATATATTTTTTTGTCGTTTCTGTTTTCAAAAATAGAATGTCTCACAGAAAGGAAATGTCCAAGGGTAGTGTACTGGTCAAGTTATGTCTTGATGAACTTGTGATATCTTTTTTGGCACAAATGTGCCATCCAAAGTGCATCCCCTGCAATGGCTTGCTAATGCCACGACTGGCCCAAGAACCTCCACTAGACGTCGCTTCCTGGAGAGACCCTCTAGAGAGTGTTTGGCCTACTTTTCCACGCTGGCCGGATGTCATGGAAATGGGGTGGAAGTAACCCCACACTTTACACCGCCATCCTGGGTTCAAATCCAGGCAGCAGTCTGTGATTAATCCGGATCCTCGAGTGTAATGAGTTGATGATCTCAGCCCTGCCAGCAATGACAGCAAAAAAGAACCGTCACGTTAAATTTGTTTATTTTAACTGCACAGCCCACGAATTACCATTGTGCATTTTCATATATCGCTGGCGGCGAATACAGGATAGCTGCTAGGCTAAAGGTCATTTGCCTTGGGGAGTGTGAGTCATGGGTTAGACAATGGAGCTTGGTGAAAATCAGTCACATAACAATGCATGGATGCATTAATTGAAATCAATTTTGGATTCTAATGATCATGTCAAATTGCGGATGTAAAAATGTATGCCCGAATTGCATATGGCGTATTCCAATGCACTACGTTACGTTGAATTCGAACTGGTCGCAGCAGCTGCAATCACATATTCCACAATGAGATAATAGAAGAATCGCCCTACGTGTTTGCAATGCACCATAAAAGTGGAACACATTGTCCACTGCGAGCCTATGGGTATCTGTATGAGTCTGTGGGTATGTGTGAGTCTGTGGGTCTCTGTGTGAGTCTATGGGTCTCTGTGTGAGTCTGTGTGAATTTATGGGTATGTGTGTGAGTCTATGGGTCTTTGTATGAGTGTGAGTCTGTGTAAGTCTATGGGTCTCTGTGTGAGTCTATAGGAGTCTGCGAGTTTCCGGGTCTCTGTGTGAATCTATGGGTCTCTGTGAGTCTGCGGGCCTCTGTGTGAGTATTTGGGTCTGTTTGAGTGTGTGGGTCTCTGTGTGAGTCTATGGGAGTCTGTGAGTCTGTGGGTCTCTGTGTGAGTCTATGGGTCTCTGTGTGAGTTTATGGGTCTCTGTGTGAGTATATGGGTCTCTGTGTGAGTTTATGGGTGTCTGTGAGTCTGCGGGTCTCTGTGTGAGTTTATGGTCTATGTGTGAGTCTATGGTCTCTGTGTGAGTCTATGGGTCTCTGTGAGTCTGTGGGTCTCTGCGTGAGGCTATGGGAGTCTACGTATGTCCACTGTGAGTGTTCTCCCGAGGGCACCAGTGGGATTAACTCGCTATCCTTTGAAACCAGACGCATGATTCACGACTCAGACATCGATTTATCGTTGCTACTCAATTCATATCGATAAGAAAGAAAATGCGTGCTGCGCAGCGAGGGTTGTCCAATCAGTCTCGGTCTATTAAAGCTTTGCAGTTTACTGTAATAACGTTCAACACGCTACCACTAATCAATTTCTGCCACCCGACCACATGCAAATTCCTGGAGTGTCCGGTCATACTCGAGACAAGTGGCAACCTCATGATCAACATTTTGAGAATGAAATATGAAAGCACGCAGAGAATGAAACCGGTGACTTTTATTTTGAAATGTGTTGTGACCCAACCAACTCCTGAAGTGGTGAAGGCAACTCCCCTAGTGGGGTACAATATTTGCACGTGAAGACGGGCTTTCTAAATAAACGTAATGCCTGCGTGTGTATTTTTCTATATATTTTTTTTATTTTGACCACCCATTGTACCGCGTGTGGGCTACTCCTGTTGTGGTTTCAAGATTGTTTGGAATTTCCTGATGCATAGAACTTTGATGGGTCAATGTTTCGACTTTTTTTCCGTTTATTTGTGTTAAATTGAACCGTAGAGAAATAACATTCCTACTTGAACATTATATCATGCATTTCTGTACGGGTTTTTTTAGTTCGTAGCACTACGAACCCGGCAAACCAAGTTCGATTCCCGCTCACGGCCAACATCAGTGGCGATTATCTGAACCGGTATTGAGCCTCCGCTCGGTCGACTCAGCCTCAAATGAGTCCCTGGTGCGGTGTGTAAGCATCTCCACTGGGGAGACAAAGGCGGCCGGGTGTGGTTCTGGCCACCCACCCCCTCGTGTGCCGTGCCGGCCTTCATAGGTGCTCGCGAACAGCACTTGCTTGTCTTTGTTATAGTACACGTAAAAAAATACATAACATCATAAAATAATAACCTGCTTAGGAATTGAAAATACTTCCCTTGAAACCCAATACCCATACAATTGCATCTGAAAACCTGCACATTTTGCACGTATGTTAACTTCTCTATTTACCGCCGCAACACGTGTGATCACACACACGCACGTGCTTGTCGCAGAGGCATTGGTAAACCTCGAGCATGCAACGGCCTCGCAGTGCCCCCTGCTGGCAATGGTTGGAGATGCAGCTAGTGAGTCGCGTGTCACCCCCATGGACCCGGGCTGTCGCGGCGTGGCGATTGCCTCGAACAAACTACAAACTCTATTCTTTAGGTATTTCGGTAAAGTCACGGGGATAGGTTCAAAGAAAATAACCAAAAAATAATAACGGAAACAACTACGACGTTTCCTGATGACGAACGCTTGTGTTGCGATCGAAACGTTGTAGTTTTTTGTTATTTTTTGTTATTTTCTTTGAACCTATCTACGTGACTTTACCGAAAGACCCAAATAATATGAATTCCTGCAGTCACGAAAGCTTTAAGTCAAGATTTAAACCACAAACTATTTTTCACCTTACCAGGTAAGGCCCCAGTGAGCTAAATTGCTCTTTCTCTTTTTTTCCAGAAGCTACCTGGTCATCACAAATCACGGTAACTCAGCGAAGTGGCTTATCGCGTGGAAATGTATCGGAGCCAGATTCTCTAAACGCGTCGATGTTCATTCTAAACGTGGAAGAAAAAAAACCGGAGGACCCGGAGACAAAATCAACGCGACCACGAGGAGACAGCCATGACAACTGCAAATGTACAACAGGCGTCAGGGTCGGGAGCGAACCCCACGACATCGTGTATGCCAGGCGAGGGAGTTAACATCTCACCACCGTGGCGACCCACATCAGTGGGGGGTGCTGGCCCATCAAATTACATTTGTCCCTCACCCACCCACAACTCTCTTTTCGATGTATAAAATCACAGTGAGATGACAAAAGAGATGCGGAGAGAGACGAGTAAAATAGGAAAGAGTGGAGAGGTGTAGTGAGACGAGAAGAGAGAGATGCAGACGATAAAGAGATTTTTTAAAATGGGAGCTTTTCTGCCTGTGTCAAAGTATAAAAAAATAAGAATACTTTTACCCTTTCTGGCAATAAAACAGGAGGTGTTTATATGTTTCAAAGGCAATGTATGTAATATTATCAGAGCATGTTTGTGTGCATGCTCACAAGTACGTGTGGCTAATGCGAACTTTGATTCCTTGCAAAAGGATTATAGTTGGTGTTTGAACATCTTAACACCAGTTTTATTGCAAGAAAGAGCAAAACCTATTCTTATTGAATCATGGATTTAAATTACAAAGAATAATGGGTTGTTTATGTTAATTCTATTTTAATGATTTTTTGTTACATTTAAATTTGAGAAGATATTTGACGCACCGCTGTATTTAGTTCACGAATCTGGGGGCCCCTTGTGTTGCTTGGGGAACTCAACTTTCGCTTGGTTTGCCTGTGCCCAGCGCCGCCACCCATTTCAACAACGACACGCCCGTTGACGAGTACACAGATACAACGTTCCCCTACTCCTCAAATTAATTGCGTGGCAGGTCTTGACCCCGCCTTAGTGGTCCTGAAGTTGGAACGGAACTCCCACATTCCCCCACAGCAAGACGACCGATGTTATAACTTCCCACCGATTTGTTTGTGCAGACTTTGCCAGACGGTGCTCAACGGCACTTCTGGCGATCTTCGTGATGATGGAGACAATTACAACAAAATGATAACAATGATGAGGCTGATTCACAACCTTGGCTTAGAATTTCAGCTGGTGTTGCACAGTCAAAAGCCACTCCCGTTGAGGGAAGAATTAGCAATCAGGGTAACTCATTTGCAGTCGAGTCTTTTCATTCGTTGCACCGCATCCGCCGCTTTAACGAACGGGGATTCCATTCAAGTCAAATCTCGCTCCTCATCGCAGCAAGCGGGAGATCAGCGTGTTCTTGAAGTGGTTCCACTCCACGAGACACTGAAGCTCCTTCTGCAGGCTCTCATGTGACGGGTACGGGCTGAGCTGAACACACAGAGAAAGGCGAGGCACAGCACAATTCAGGAACAATCAGAGCTGAGACGAGCGGTCAATCAAGTAAAATTGTCATCGACAACTCTTTTCACGATCGATCATTTGTATTCTCTGATTGGTCGAGTAATCGAACCGATAGTCAGTCATCAATCACTTGACTAAATAGCCTGGAATATTTCGATTTAAAGCTTTCGTGACTGCAGGGATTCATCTTCTTGGTTCTTTCGGTAAAGTCACGTAGAAGGGAAGTAATAAAATAATAAAAATAAAACAATAAAATAATTCTCACGACGTTTCGGCCACAACGCTGTCTCCCCGACAGACCTGGTCTTCACCTGAGGACGGCTACTTGCGTTGTGGCCGAAACGTCGTGAGAATTATTTTATTATGTTTTATTATTTTATTACTTCCCTTCTACGTGACTTTACCGAAAGAACCAAGAAGATGAAGCCTGGAATATGTTTATTTACACTAGATATCAGAAGCTAAGCAGGGATTTTGAGCCTGGATCGTGCCTGGTGGGTCGACCGTAGTGCAGGCCAGGGAGTCATCGGTGGCGCCCTCGCAGCGCTCCGCTGTGGGCACCAGGGGGCAGTGCAACCCAACCCATTATTGTACTGCGCTTCTATGCCACCGCGTATGCTATACCGCAAGCTTTCACGAGCCTGCGCTGACCAGCTTGGCCGATGTTCATGGTCAATAAGCCCCTAGAACCCACACGCCATTGGGGCAAGTCCTCACCCCGCAGTGGACGATGAATATGAACACTCTCACAGAGATGTCAAAATCCACGTAGGAATATAAAAAAACACCACCACAACCCACGCCTTTGAGATCACGAAGGAACAGGAAACGTTGCCCGGCTATCTGATTGAGCTGTTTTGAGGTTTTGGCCGGCCACGAGAGGCTATTTAGAGGTTGCAGTCGTTTCAATCGCATCTGCGTAATTGCCAGCAGCTGTGGGCAGGGAATGCTACCCTCTGCAGCAAATCAATCGACTCCACCGCAAACGCACGGCCGCTAGCCACGTCAACCACACCTACCCAGAGCAGCATACACTCCTCCCATCGGTTTAGGATTTTTTTCAAAAATGCAACAACATCGTGGAGCATAAAAGCGCTTGAACGCAACCGCATCGAAGGAGATTGTGCAGGAGATGGGACGCGGTTTTCGAGGTTATTTAAAGAGGGGACTTTTCATGAGCAAGCTGTTGGCGCAGGACACATGGTTACAGAGCTAACAGGAAGGTAAAGGTTTGAATGAAGACATTGCATTGATAGCGTCAGTCACAGGAAACAATTAGTCTTGAGCCTGCACTTGTAGAAAATAATTAATTCTAAGTATTTAGCCAGGAAAGCCTCACTCGAGTCTCAATACGGCCCTTCAGGTGATTCCTGCATCGGGATGAAATTGGCCAATACAATCCATGTGGGAGGAAACCAGAGAAACAAACGCTTAAAAGTGTCATCTCCTGGCCACACCTCGCAGCCCCGTGACCACGGCACCTGGCAAGGCCTGGCGGTCACTCGGCCAACAACGAACCAGGCTCACCCCTGCTTAGCCTCCGAGATCTGACGAGACTGGGTGCACTGTGGGTGAGTTGGACATCGGCGAAATGGGAACTTCCCAGGTTGACGTTTTGACTTCAGTCTCATTGAAGAAAAAAATATCTCGTCACCTTAATTAGTTAATAATGACAATGATGAGTACATTTGGGTTGTCGCTACATTATTGCAGAAATTATTTTTGCGATACTACAAGTGCCATGAAGAAGGACCATCACCCGAAACGTTGCCTATGATATAGTTGTTCCTTTTAGGGCAGTGTTATTGGCAAACGTGTTGAGGCCTTCGTTGTTGTTATTATTAGAATCAGAATCGTTATTGAGACTGGAGGAATCCGATGAGCTATGAAGCTCTTTGTTAGAGACGTCCACTGTGACTATAGGGCATAGGGCAAGGCCATCACGAAGGCACCATGGCCCCTGGACGGGTATAGCCTGCCAGTAGGGGCCGATGTTGCTAAGTAGTTTTACTCAATGCATGTATGAATGTATGTTGAACTTCTTCTGCACCGTACGTAGCCAACCGTGCTAATCGGATATGCAGGGGAAGAACAACAAGCTGAACACAAAAAGGGGTTCTAAAGAAATGCATTTTCAATCTAGATGATGATGATTTAAAAGTTCATAGCTCCAGTGGCTTCCTAATATCGGAAGGAAGAGCGTTCCAGACGACCGCAGGGTCGCATCTGACAGCGCGCGATGCGGTGACCGTCTTTGTTCGATGGTTCGCCAAAAGCCGCTGCGGGGATGACCGAGAAATGGGACAGTGGCCCGCGGTCGAGACTAACAACGCAGTGGCTGCCCAAGGAGTGAACACTTCTCGAGGGAGCATCCACCCTGGATGTTGAGCGATGCAATCAGCTCATGTGCAAGCGGCTAGGGAGATGTGCTGCTGCTGTTACTGACCTTCTTGCCCAGGTGCTGGATGTAGGCGTCGTCCACGTGCTTGCGGAAAAACTCGCGCGATATGAGGACGCACTCGGCCCCCTCGGACACGAGCACCATGCTCGTGCTCTCGTTGAACACCGTGTCCGTGAGGCCCTGCGAAGCCCACGGGGCGGCGATGGACACGGTCACAGCGCCACCGACAACTCACTGCTGCCCCGGGACGCTGTCGCACCGTGCCGAGTGATGGTCAAACAATCGCCCCAAACCAACCGTGGCCGGCACTCATCCAGCGGTGGGAAGTCAACAGGCTGCGTACGTGTACGTACATGTACGTAATTACTCATTAGTGTACAACAACGGTCGGGAACCTATGGCTCGCGAGCCATATATGGCTCTTCCGGTGACGGCATATGGCTCCCAGACAATTTTGAGTTGAAAATAATAATAGTAAAAAAATAAAAATAAAATCAGTTTGGAACTGATTTTAAAATAATTGTGATATTGCTTAATAATACTGTGTCATTTTAAAGTAAACAGAAATTAGTTTTGAAGTTAAATTTTCTCGGGTCACGGTCCCGTGACCAGAAGTCGCATTAAAAGTAAGACATTTAATTTATTATACGTTAAAAATACTACATGGCTGTCAATGAAATATATTTAGAAATATTTGGCTTTTATGGCTCTCCCAGTCAAAAAGGTTCCCGACCCCTGGTGTACAACATTCGTGGGCAGGGATGACTTGGTAGATTAAAAAAAGTACACTGATTCATTAAGTGTTTTACAAACAGGTAAACACACTAAACGTTACAAATGCAGGAAACGCAGAGGGAGTGTTTCACGAGCACAAACCAAAATAATTACCATATCTGCCATTAACGCTTCCCTGTACCAGAAAAAAAATCTAACATATGTGATGCCAATCTTGTATATTGCAGTATGATGTGTTGCAATACGTTTGAAATTCAATATGTATGCAAAAATAGCCAAGAGGAGCTGCTTACGAATATTTGTCCGGTCTGCAGGCTCTGCACCTGCACGTACACCTTGTGGGAGTCGCCAGGGCTGCTCCTGTGACTCGAAATCCCTGACCCCACGATGTGGCCGTCCCTCGTGTCACGGGTGCCGCTCTCGCCCTCTCTCGTGCAATCACCACCACCACCACCACTGCCATCATCACCACCACCACCACTGCCATCATCACCACCACCACCGGCCACATCATCACCACCACCGCCACCCTCAGCTCCAAGTCCATCCATCGCGCGCCTCTGCTCGGCCTCTTGGGAGCTGCGCGACACCCCGAGAACAACCTCCCCGCCCGCAGGCGGCGATTCGTCGTTCGCCAAACCCCGCAGAGACGGCGGCGAGAGCCGAGGGCCGGCGGATTGATCGTCGGCGAGTTTGGGATGAGTCTCCGCTCGCGCGCGCGCAGCCGCAACCGCAGCGCGCGCGTCACTGCCCGGCCGGCCCGAGCCCCGGGCCGCAGCGGGGGACTTCTCGTCCAGCGCGTCTCTCGCCGTCTCTCCGGGGCCGGCGGTACCGGGCGAGTCTCTGCGGGGCCGAGAGTCGGCGGCGGCGGCACGCGTCCCGCATCTCCGCTTAGCCGGCGCCAGCGCCTTCAGCACTCGGACGCTGCCCTGTGACGTGGAAGCGCGGGAGAACTGAGACGAGCGGGGGCAGCGGTATGCAATCGGCACGGTGGGCACAAGTGTCTAGGGCCTACAGAAAACCCCCCAAAAAATGTGGCTGTCGTCTGATGAAGGCAGTTGTAATTGCCGGCGAAACTTCGTACTGAGATTGTAAATGTTGTGGATTTGCGTTGTGGCCGAAACGTCGTGAGAATTATTTTATTATGTTTTATTTTTATTATTTTATTATTTCCCTTCTACGTGACTTTACCGAAAGAACCACGAAGATGGACCGGCAAATTGCTCGATGAATGCACCGTGCGTTGAACTTCGTTCGCGCCGTACGTCGCCTGCCGTGCTGATCAGAGGTGCGGGACTCAAATGGATCAATACGCAGCAATGAATTATCAGCACCCTGCTGCCCAAAGCTTGGTATGATCCTACTGACTAGGGAGTCATGAGACTCTGCGAGGCTTTCCTGGGTAAACAATTGTGATGTCAATAATAATTTTAAAAAAAATTGTCCCGCTAAGCAGGTCTAGCTGCAAGCTGCAAGACGCAGCCTGATAGATGAATTAAAAAATACGTAGGAAAGGTGCCGGGGGAGGGGGGGGGAGGTCATGGTTGAGGTGGGTGGAACTCACCGACTTGACCACGTAAAGCATGTCTGAGGTCGCGGTGTCTTTGCAAATGACAGCTCCACGCCTGTAACGAGCACACACACACTTAGGAAACATTTTGCGCGGAACACACTTCAGCCCATTGCCGAGCCACATCCCACGCCGTCGCGATGCTGCTGAACGTGACACGTGGGTTCTCACAGCCAACGCTGCGATCGGTGGTTTAGTTTGTGTACGTGGCCCAAGACAAAAATAAATCATCACCCAATGATGTCGATTATTTATACAGGGCAACCTCGCTGGCCACTAAATTCCAAGGCTGATTTTCTTTCAGCAGTCGGGTGCTGCGTTGAGACGTTTAACCAAATTGAATTGCTAATTAATGCATTTTACTCAAGAGGTTTCGAATAATCGTAATGGCTCACAGCGTATCGTCAAGATCCAATGACGACGAATAACACAACAAGGTTGGAATGTGGGAGCAACCCCAGAGTAGCCAGAGGGAACGACTGCAAAGATAGGGACAGCACTCTAATGTCTGCACGAAGCATTTGATGACATCTCCTGGCCACCTCGCAGCCCCACTGGAATTGGGAGTTTCGCAAAATACAAAATACTAAACTATTTTTTTTTATTTGACCAAGTAAGGCCCATCGAGAAATACAGCTATTGTTTTAATTTCTGAAGAAACCTGGCCACAAATGAAAACTCTACGAAGTGGCTTTTCATCATGTGGACATTTATAGCAGCCAAATACTCGAAACGCACCTTGATTCTAAATGTGGAGGGAGAAAATTGGAGGACCCCGATGAAAAATCCACGCGACCGTGGGAAGAGAGAGAGGGAGACATGCGAACTGCAACTATATATAGGCGTCAGGGTCGAGGTTCAGCCCACAACCTCGTGTACACCACGAGTCGTCGTTAACATCTCGCCACCGTGACACCATGAACCACGGACAATGTGTCACGTGAACATACAATTTTAACTTTTGCACGTCACGGTAAATGCTCCGCAGGTGTATCACTTGCACAATGCTCACCTTTGTGTTTGACACAAGCAATACATCATAGCCAGTTATGGGATGCTTAATGATGACACCCACTCATTGTATGCTGAATTGACCGAGAGGAGGATCGGTGCTGGTTCCGATAGGATGCCAATTGGCACTGTCATTATGTTTGGCAAGGAATCGATGCTGGGTGGCCGGTATCGTATCGCAGCACACGAACCACGATCAGACAACAGCCGCCGACTGGTGACCTCGATGCGACGCTTCGGCCAGGCTCGGTGCACTTTGAGTCGTGAAGTGTCAAAGCTTTGCTGGCAGGATGTCACCGGACAGGTTTTGTGTGTTAACAGACTGAGATGACTGGAAGATGCACCACCTGTGCTCCCCTCTGTGCCACCTTGCTGTGTTTTAACCACACGGCGCTCCGCTCGTTGTCGCGAGCGCCGCTCTTCTGCCCTCCGCCGATCTTGACACCGCTGGTACCGGTCATCGACAAGTCCACTAAGCTCCACATCCTTTCCAGCCCGTGCCGTGTCCGTTTCGACCCCGCTACCCGGCCAAACAAAAGCTGTCTCGGGCAGGTGGTGGATGAGCACGTGTGGGGAGCGGTGGCGCAGCAATTAGCGCGCTACTCTACGAACCCGGTGTCCCCGAGTTCGATTCCCGCTCACGGCCAACACCGGTGACGATTATCTGAACCGGTCCTGGGCCTCCCCTAAGTCGACTCGGCCTCAAATAAGTACCCGGCGCGGTGTGTAAAACATGGCAACTGGGGAGACAAGGCGGTCTGACGTTGTGCTGGCCACCCACCCCCTCGTGTACCGTGCACGCCTTCATAGGTGCTCGCTAACAGGACTTGCCCCTAGAGTCTGTTAAGGCTATACGTGGGGGGGGATCTTTGTCATTGTCTTTGTCTGGATGAGCATGCCGACTCCACGACACAGCCAACGCAGCCTCGCCTGGTCACGGATTCCGCGGCGCAGGCGAACCTAAAGTAGCTGTGGATGCACACGCTGGTGCTGTCGAGCGGGAGCACGTGGAGAGGCCAGCCATGGAACTCCTCCAGGGAGCGGAGGAAGCTGACGAACTCGGGTTCGCCACTGCACACGCCGTTCTGCATGAAGATGTTCACAAAGTCCTGCAGCAGCAGCAGGAGCAGGCAGACAGGCAGCAGCAGCAGCAGGAGGAGGCAGCAGCAGCAGCAGAGGCACACAGTGGCCACGGGTGTGCGTGAGGACATGCAGGGATCACCGCGTGTGACTCGTGCCCATTGCTTTTGTAGCATTATTTTGGTGATTTCGAAAAGTTTTGGTTTAAATTTTCATTTAAAGCTTTCGTGACTGCAGGGATTCATATTCTTGGTTCTTTCGGTAAAGTCACGTAGAAGGGAAATAATAAAATAATAAAAATATTAAACAATAAAAATTCTCACGACGTTTCGACACAAGCAATCATCCTCAGGTGTGAATTTGTTTGTTGTAGTACAGAGTTAAACTGATAACTTTAATCTAAATTGTCTTATGGTTGTTATTGTTTGACTTGCATACCACTGGGATTTTTGCACACAGCAATGATGTGCGGTGCTCTTTCTGGAAGACTTTGCTGTTTTTTCCTGGATTTTTCAGTTTGCGCGTAACATCTTTAAGATGTTTTCTTGTTCATGTTTTGTTTGTTGCGGTTGCACCCGATTCAAGAGCCGAATGGCTCACAGGGCTATACCAAATAAATGAAACTGAAACTGCGTTGACAATGCTGCACCCGGGGCCTAAATCTCTCACTGAGTAATTTTCAAGTCGCTGGGTGAACCGGAGTTTGGCGGCGACTGTGAATGTTTGCGACAGCCTTGTCGAGTGGTGAAGCGGTGCGGTGCTGTGCGTGCCGATTGCGCTCTCTGGGTGGGTCACAGACCCAAGCAGACCCCCGCTGGCATGAAGCCCTGACCACACTTGTATCATCGCTACTTCAGACACCCTCACTACTGCCCAGCTTTGTTGTTAACCATGTGTTTGTCGGGCTACAGGCTTCGTCAATCTGAATGATGGTAGACATTGCGAGTTGTGGCTGTGGGGGCATGGGCTATATTCGGGGAAGAAAGTCCCCTTGCTGAGCCCCCTGATTTAATATACTTCATGGGTTGCCATGGCTGCTCACTAAGTCTCTCACCTTAAAGTTAATCCTTGCTGGAAAGTTGTAAGGTGTGTCGCTAAGAGGTGGTCGTGTCCATGTCAATGATGTATACTAATTTACATCCATTTGTCAATCCACAGATGGATGAAGGTTGCCTTACACCGCGTCCGTCTTGGGGGTTGTATGTCCGCACTTCACGGGGCTGGTGAGTGAGAGTTAGGTCAGGGACCGGTTCAGATATCGTTCGTCACTCGTGTATAGTCGTGGCCAAGAATCAAACTCAGGTCACAAGGTTCGGAGCGCTTCCCCCACCCCCCTCTCCATTTAACCATCTAAATAATACTCGTCAATTACGCACGTGTAAAATGGGATGAAATAATAAGTAAGTTGGGACTAATTTTGCGTGTGTAAATATCCGTAGGCGATGTGTACTTTGAAAGATCACACATCAATAAAAATGCGTGTGACTCGTGCCCATTTATATTGATTTTTAAAAAATAACACTTTTTACATGACACCCCTAGATACATTGATGGGGGGGGGGGCACACCTGGGGACGCCAACATTTATAGAGTTCAACATTGCACAGTGAGTCTCTACATGTGCTGTGATTTAAGCGAGCCAGCCCCAAGCGCGTTGCCTCATCGTGTCCACAGCAGTCGTCCCTCTCCTGCGCCAAACATTCACTCGCCCGGTTCAATTCACGCAAATTACGCAACGCGCATCAACTTGCGTCCCTGTGTGTGCTTACCCCGCGCAGCCAAATATGGAACTCCTTCACGTATAGGCAATGGACGTGCAACGTTATGAAATAAAGACTCTAAACCCGACACCACGTTGAAACAATGGGCGGTATTTGTGTTGTTTATCAGGGCGGAGACCCACCAAGCCCACGCAAGAATGCAAGTAACTCTTGTTCGAGCGTATTGTACGTGCGTATGTTGAAATTCTTTCTCACCCTACGTAGCCAACCGCGCTAATCGGAGTTGCGTGTGAAGGACAACCAACTAAAACACAAAATTCATTTCTAAAGAATTGAATTTTCAATCCAGACGATTTAAAAGTGTTTACAGCTCCAGCGGCTTCCTAGTATCGGAAGGCAGAGCGTTCCAGACGGCCGCGGAAGCGCGCGAGAAAGCGCGCGATGCCGAGGCCGTGTTTGTTCGATGGCCAGCCGACAGCCACCGTTGCTGTGAGGAAGAGGATGAGGAGGAGGATGAGGAGGATGAGGAGGAGGGAGACAAAGACCTGTCGGTTGACGGTGAGGAGGAGAAGGAGTAGGAGGATGAGGAGAATGATGAGGAGGAGGATGAGGATGAGGAGGAGGATGAGGAGGAGGAGGATGAGGAGGAGGAGGAGGAGGGAGACAAAGACCTGTCGGTTGACGGTGAGGAGGAGAAGGAGGAGGAGGATGATGAGGAGGAGGATGAGGAGGAGGATGAGGAGGAGGAGGAGGAGGAGTAGGAGGAGGAAGAGGAGGAGGGAGACAAAGACCTGTCGGTTGACGGTGAGGAGGAGAAGGAGGAGGAGGATGATGAGGAGGAGGATGAGGAGGAGGATGAGGAGGAGGAGGAGGATGAGGAAGAGGAGGAAGAGGAGGAGGGAGACAAAGACCTGTCGGTTGACGGTGAGGAGGAGGAGGATGATGAGGAGGAGGATGAGGAGGAGGAGGATGAGGAGGAGGAGGAAGAGGAGGAGGGAGACAAAGACCTGTCGGTTGACGGTGAGGAGGGCGACCGTCTCCTTGCACACGACGGTGGCGTTCCTCTTCGCTCGCATCAGAATGGCCAGGTCCTGTAACACGAGCAATGATCGAGCGCCACGGTGAGCACACGAGACTTTGCGAGGCGGCAGGAGTCGCCGTTCGATCTCCCGTCGCGGCAGTGAATGAAGGGCGCAACTGGCTTAACTCTCCCGCCCCCCCACCCCCCCCCCCCCCCAGCAATATAAATGGGTACATTATAGTTCAATCTAGATTTGAATTGTTCGTGACTGCAGGGATCCATACTCTTTGATTCTTTCGGTAAAGTCACGTGGGTAGAAAATGAAATTAATTAAATCACGACGTTTCGGGCGCAACACAAGCGTCCGTCATCAGGTGGGACAACAACAGCAAGAAACAATTGCTGAAGAGTAAAGCCACCTACGTGACTTTGCCGAAAGAACCAATAATATTATACATCATAGTTCGTTGATTGGCATGTCGCATATGGTGGAGTAAAGTGGGGGGGGTGCATTGAGTAGGCCAAAATGCCCCTTCGAGGGGGGCTCTGTGGAGTACGCCCCCGTGAAGGTTGTTTGTTTGTTTGTTTTTGTCGTTTCACCAGCAGTGACAAAAGCGAGCGAATGCATGGCTGCACCTTTACAAATTACGACTCATCCTGGACATCAAGTTGGCTCAATTACGGCAGGAGGTGCTAAATCGGCGCTTGACAACGCACGCCGGGGCCGGTGCTGATTGAAGAGAGCGCGCGGCGGCTGTAATGATCACGATGAGCCCCGTCGAGAGATCACGGTAATTAATAGTCTTGGCTAATGAAGGCGTTGATAATTGTGACCGCGTGAATCAATGGCGTGCCGCCAAAAGCCTGCCTAAGGTTACGTAACTCATTGGCGTTCACTCGAAGTGGTGTTTTTCTTATTCAACATCTCCATCATCATCATCATCCACAAACCATGTATTGTCTCCAGAGATTGTAACGTGTGCTTGGAATGGCCAAACTGTGAGTCTTTACGCGGCGTATGGCGAACACACACACGTGCATAATGCTCACTCGGTTATGAAACATTTGCACGAGCGTGGAAGATGATCGGACTGCATAGGAATGTGAACTTTATAAACACTAAACTAGAGATGGGTTATTTTTTTCTCCTGGCACTGGTTAAAGTCGATTAAAAAAATTCCACAACAGGACTGCCCTGCGCACAAACAAAAGCCTCGAGTCAGCGAGGTTTTTTTTCTTCCCCTCGTGGAAACAAAGAAGAAAAAGCGTGCATATTCATCGTTGCCACAGTGCTTTCCTACGTGCGTTTTTGTCCTCGGAAAGATTTCTTTAACTCGTGACAGAATCGGCCCCTGCCACTGGCAAAGCAAAGCGACGCGTGGCATTGCGAGGTGACGTCACGCCACGATGAGGCGTGACGTCCCTGTGACGTCATCGCCTTGGCCGAAAAGGCTCCTTTTTTTTGGGTCAAACTTTCATCCATTACCCCCCATTTTCTAGAGCAGTGGTTCTTAACTTTCACTACAGCCTTGCTCCCCTTTGGTTCTCAATCGTAAAAAAAATGTATAATGTTAATAAATGTTAATAAACACACACATTGGCCGCTCAAATGTCCCAGAATCTTGATGGAATAAAGTAAGGTGTACTTACGTGCCCGTTTTTCATTTGTCTATTCAACGATTTAACTTCGAACAAAAATCTGGCCGTGTCTCGCACTCCCAGGGGGGGCATCCCGCACCCCCAGGGGATGCGTGCACCCCAGGTTAAGAAGAACCACTGCTCAAGGGGTTTAAGTCCCGAATAGCAAGACGACTTTATACTCAAGTCTCGTTTACGAGCGATCGTCTTCGCCAGAGTTACCATGGCACCCCCCCCCTCCCCAGTGATATTGGTCGCATTCGCGACCAATATCAAGGGTTTTTTTGGGGTTAAATTGCGTTAAATTAAAAGTGTCGTTACCCCACCGCCACCCGACGCATCCAATTAGTAGGGTTTGTCACGTGAACAAAACGTTTAGAATGTGAGGACGACGTTTCACTGGTGATTGCTTCCAGCTTCATCAGGCGATTTGCCCGAATTGTTATCTCTACTTCCCTTCGTCTAGAAAGTGGCGACGCGCGTTGACTTGCGTGAGCGTGCGTCACGTGACACCCACCCCAAAGAAGTCGCCCTGCTTGAGGAAGGTGACCGTTTTGACGGACACCTCTCCGCTCTGCTGGTCCATGCGCACCTTGGTGACGAGAGCGGTGCCTGTGAGCAGGAGGTAGAAATTCTGGGGCACCTGGCCCTGCCGGATGATGATTCGGCCAGGGCCGAAGCTGCCGTGTGTGGAGAAGGGGGGGGGGGGGGGTGGCGGCAATAGGGTGACCATCGTATGCACGTACTGTATGTTGAACGTCTTTCGCACCGTACGTAGCTAACAGCGGCAATAATCGGAGGTGCGGGGGTCCGTATACTAAGCTAGGTTGAACGCAGCATCATGCGCATGGTTTACACGCGACATTAGATCGCTCGTAACGTGCGGTCAGGCCGACTACGCTCGACTAATGACGTTTTACAGCCGACGCAAGCCGCCCCGTCATAAAAGCAATCCGCCGATGGACTTTCGGAGAGGAATCGAGGCACCGTTACCTTTCATACCAGCCGTATCTGACCAAGCCTTTCTGCATGGTCTTCGGGAATTCTCCAAATGCCTCCACGACGGTCCTCAAGGAGGTCAGCGCCTGCAAAGAGGTCGCAACAATCCACGCCACGCAAGACACACACAAAAACCAAACTTCTGTAGCAGAGGGGTAGAAGCTACCACAATGTGGTGGGGGCGGACACGATCCGCAACTTCGTGTTTTTCATATGGACCCCCGTGGCCACGTGAAGCCAGCCACTTTGAGACGGCCGACAAACGAAGTTGTCCATCACCGTACCTCAACCGCACTCATCGGAGACTCGAGGGAAATATATATTTATATTTCATTTTGACCTGGCAGCGAAGACCGCGTTACTCATTTCAACGCGTTAAGCAAACTTGCGTCAAAGCAGTCGGTGTTCTCGCAGCAACTTAAGTGTCCACGTTGTGTGACCAGCCAAAGGCATTCAGAAGCCCTTTGTGACCCTGGCTGATGGAATTTGTGGAAAATTATTTTGTCTCGTTTCTATTACGTGGACCGACGGGTGTGAGAGAGAGACAAGTTGTCTGCTTGGAGAATCCCCCACCCCTGCTATGAGAGAGACAGAGTGTTGGGGACAAGTGATATTGGCGAGCGCCTATGAAGGCCCGCACGGCACAAGGGGTGTTGGGGTGGTTAGCATGGATACCGTGCAGGAAACATTTCAACGTGTTCGTGGAGCGTTATCAACACGCTCGCGTGGCAACTAAACACGCGATTACGCACAATGTGGAACAGTTTCATTGTTAACGCTGCTTTTGACTGCACGGGCGTGGGCATGTGATCTTCTCTATGCAACTTGGCCTTAGTAACCTGGGGGGGGAGGGAGGAGGGGGGAGGGGACCAGTGGGTCCGATAAGGGTTGAGACCCACTCATGTGCACATCCTCCACGCGCGTGCATCTGTGTTGGCGTGACACGTGGTGCCGCTCGCCGTGGTGCGGGAGGTTGGCGCGTGATTTTTGTTGAGGCTGCGCCACAAAACAAAACTATACACACAAATATAAAAGTTCTCGGTGTATTTAAGATGAGAAAAAAAAACACTCGACTTAAAGCTTTCGTGACTGCAGGAATTCACATTCGTTGGGTCTTTCGGTAAAGTCACGTAGATAGGTTCAAAGAAAATAACAAAACTAACTGCGACGTTTCGATCGCAACACAAGCGGCCGTCATCAGGAATAGGGGGTGAAATGTATGGCCATACATTTGGGCTACGCCCATTTTAAACCTTTGCCCTTAGAACTTATCTACGTGACTTTACCGAAAGACCCAAAAAATGTTTTTAAAACAAGCTCGAATATTGTGATAGCCAGGGCATTTTGTGGCAAGGAAAAGATAAACGAAAGGTCAATTGCCTTCATGGTTCAGTGCCCAACAATTGCTTTGTTGTGCGTAACAGTTGCACACTTTGCAGCGTGCCGTGTCCGCTAAGAGAATGCGCGCTGCTTTGCTCAGGCCGAGGTAGACGCACCCCAACACGAGCTGTTTGCTCTGAACCGGAGGGCACACGAAGGCTCACAAAGCGAATTTGCTCACTGTCACTTACTGTGTTATTTGAATAGACCGTCGTCCATGCTGTTTAACCATCATATAACCGATATACATCATCATAATGTCCGATATTGGGAAGCCACGGGAGCTATGCACTTTGAAATCTAGATTGAAAACTGATTTCTTTACAACTGCGTTTGTTGTGTTTAGTTTGTTGTGCTTCCCCCGCACCTCCGATAATGATCACGGTTGGCTACGTACGGTACGAAAGAACTTCAACATAAGTACATAGTCGTCAACATTATCATCGTCATTATCATTTTCACAACTCTGTTCTTTGAATGTATCGTCTATACAACAAACCCATCATATTCTTACGCAAGAAACACACCATCGCTAGTTTCATCATTGTCATCGCCACTGCTATCATTATCACGCGATCCAAGCTTGGAAAATGGAATCGGCCAAATATCCGAATTGGAAGAAACTCCTGAAAGAAAATAAACTGATTTCACGTTCTGTAAAAACAACAACAACGGCCAAAAAAAACCCCAGACTGTTGGACAGAATTGTTATTTATCTGTTTGCCCACAATGAAAAGTTAAGTTTTATCCACGGCTTATTCTGCAGTCGGAGGAAGTCATCGATTTCACTCTCGCTGAAATGTATTTAATTCACCGTTGTATCCCGCAATCGGAAAGTGTATAGCAGCAGTACCGAAAGTCAACGCGATGTCCTGTTCAAGTGAGCACTCAGAAGGTGGTCATCTACCCTATTTACAGCCCTGAGGTGGACATTCCTCATTGCTATGGCGGGCCAAGTTTTTTTTCCAGAGGACAACCACTGCTGACTTCCTCACAAAGTGGTAGTAATTTTAGAAACCCTCTACGGATGATTGACTGGGCCGACCCCCCCAACCAGGATTTGAACTTGAAGCCTCCGGATTGTGAGCCGCTCGCTGTAACACTGAGCGACCTCTCGGCTCTATATCCACACACACACATCATCGCCATGTATACATGCACGGTATCTGCCGTTAAGCATTCATCTGCTCAATGTGCCTCTGTAGAGTCCTGCAAGGCAATAACTTTGCATGTAGACACGCAGTGTTGACTCACCGCTCGTAACTTATCCTGGGAGCGGACAGCCGGTGGTAGAGATAGAACGGCCTTGGTCTCAGTGCTCACATCGTGCTGTGTAAACAACAAGAACAAAACACAGTCACGCAATTAATCGTCCAGCTCGAGGTTTACACGTACGTTGGTTGATTCCATATCAGGCCTCATCGCTGCAAGAGTAACGAGCAATTATTCCAGGACCCCGCGCACAACGCAGATGTGGCGTTCTAATGAGCTGCTTGTTAAGGATTAATCACTTGCGTCCATTGGCCACTCAAATGTCCCAGAATCTCAAAGCACCTTGCATCGCATCACATTTAAATCATTCCCAATGCCCAGCTGTCGCTTTCATTTTTGTTTTAGCCTAGGGGACCCCCTGATGGCTCTCTCTGTGCAACACACGGTGACGGCTGCACCAGGCCTGCTAGTGGGCATTCGCCTGTCAGTAGGTGGGTGACGTTGCAATAATACAGTACGGTCCGATATCCCGTAACGCCACGTGGTGTTTTCATAACGCCAGTTGAACATAACGCGTTGAATGTGTTAGGGAACATTTTTTTGTTATAACACGGATGCCAATTGGATATAACGCGATCGAGTGGAGGGAACTACGTCCCGCGAGTAGGAATAAGCAGTCGTGCGGCTGCCTCCACGTAGCGTCGCACAAGGCAGCGGGATGCTGCTGGATGCTTCTAGATGCTACTCACGCGCCTCGGTCTTTGGTCAGCCTGCGTTACACATCCCACGTGTTATCGCGGACTGTGCTTTACCCCGATATTATATATTATTCATTATAACGCGATTTTCCCATAACGCGGTGTTCTTCAGGGATACGCAAGTACCATGTTATAGGTGAACAAAACTGCTGCTGTTTCAATTATATTGCAAAGTCGCTTTATAAAATTAGGCTAAATTTAACCGTGACTCCCACAAGCACGGCCTATTTTATTCAAATTACGTCACGGGATCTTTAACGTCCAGTGTGAAGCAGACGGCACGTAATATGTGTTATCCTTAAATATTAATTCTTAAGGATAATAAACCAGGCTTTGATGGGCAAACCTTGGCAACAAGCGGCGAATGAGTTACAGCTCGGCCTTGTCACCAAATGTATTTTATATCAGTTCTTTTATTTGAGTCCTGCTTGCGAAAGTCCATTGAGACATTATATATCTTTAAATATCCTAACATACTCTTCTGCGTCTGTCAGTCACAGTAATAACCTGAGTAATCTTTGTCATGTAAATTTGAATAATGGCTGGTTCTGACCGAAAGATGAGGTTTTTATATTATCTTGGATTTAAAGATTATGGCGAAAGAATTGCATTTTGGGAGAACATATTGAAAGTGTTAAATGAACCGTGTATTTAGATGTTCACACCTTTTTGGTGTTGTATGCTATTCGTCTTCCGAACATCTTCCACCGTTTCAATTCAATGTTGATTTTTGTGACTGTACATGGACAATCCCATTTAGGCAGTCACCCGATAAATATATTGCTGGGGTGGAGAGGAACCCAGCCAGCAGCCAGCCAGAAAACTCGAGGCATATATTATTTTGTTAGCAGTGGTACGATTGTAGCTTCGAAGAAGATTCAACTGGTCTGCATGACGGGCTGGTGCCATCTGTGCCATCCTACAGAAACCCCTGCAAAACGTCACATGAGTACCTCTTTGGGAGCTCTGTAGAACGACGGATCGAAGGAAAGTCCATTGCCGTAAGATGTGAGGTCGCGTCCAAACTGAAGCTGAGCGAAGGACAACATCTCTGGCCTCGCCTGAGACGACTCCCTAAAGAATTGATGCAGTTGTGTGCATGCGGGTGTGTGCACACGCGTGTGTGCATGCGGTGGGAATTATGTGAATATTTGTAGGGCATTTGGTGCCAACGTAATACATTTGTGAAAGTCCAAGGGTAACCGGAGAATCCAGACAAAGTCCATGAATGAGTGGATAATACTCGAAGCTCTGCACAGATAGATTCGAACTGTAATTTCTCTACTGCCATCTCCTGGTCACCTCACAGCCCACTGTTAAGAGGGTTACATATCTCGTGCCATTTATAGGAAACATATGAATACGTCTTGATGTTATTCAAAGGCATCAGTGTATAGATGCATGCTTGGCATTTACATTGAGATACTTCAAAAGGAACACGTGGAGTAGAGAACATACCCCAGGCTAATGACACAATTCAAACCGTTAAGAAAAGTTAAGTGGACTTGTGCAGGACACTATGAGACCTCCTTTACCAGTGGCAAAATATAGTAATAGGTTTTTACCCTTTCAACTGGTACAACTGCTTGTGTTGTGGTTATTGCAAACATGATGCCTTGTATAAATGTGTCAGTTTTGTACCAGTTGAAAGGGTAAAAACCTATTACTATATTGTGCAGGACACTTCACGAGAAGGGCTGATGGCACGTGGTCCAGACTCATTCTATTATTAAGTGGCCGCCGAGGAATGGAAGGCATCTGAGATACCACCCACCAAGGAGATGGAGCGATGGTGTCAGCTCGTGTGCAGCTGCTAGATGGAATATCTAATCGCAGGGCCTTGAGGGGTGGCATCGGCCTTGAGAGGCTTCCATCCGGCATTGCTGACCACGATTACATTTTAACACATAGGCTTTCGCGACCAATATCATCCATAATAGAAGTTTTAGGGTTAGATCGCGTAAATATATAAATGTGTCGTTAAACCCGCCACCACCAATCAGGCTGTCGCCTGATGAAGCTAGTTGTTATTACTGGCGAAACGTCGTGCTCAGATTGTAAACGTTGTGGCTTGGCTCTCCAACACACCGGTGTGCTGTAATAGTATACTACACTATAGACTACACTATACACTACACTATAAACTACACGCTAGTGCTGTACTAGTGACGAATTGGCCACGTTCTGTTTACGTGACAACCCTTACTAAATTTCGATTTAAAGCTTTCGTGACTGCAGGGATTCATCTTCTTGGTTCTTTCGGTAAAGTCACGTGGAAGGGAAATAATAAAATAAAAATAAACCATAAATAACCCTTAATAGTTGGCTGTGTCAAGTGGTGGCGGGTTTTAACGACACATTTATATATTTACGCGATCTAACCCAAAATAACCTCTATTATGCACGAACACATTATTGATCGTGGTCGGTCACAATGACGATTCATGCCTCTTTGCTACCTCGTTGTGCATTCTGGCGCTTCTTAAGATCTCCCTGAATTAAGCAGCCTGACGTCAGAATGCACATGCTTAATTAATCAATGGTATTGGTCAATCCATCACTGCCGCTGCCGGTTCTCAACGGGTCAGCGACGGCAGTTGAAACGACGTTTAGCAAAAAAAAAAATGGGTGACGTGTTTTAATATCTCATCCAAGATAAGGCTGACACTGATGAATGGCCAAGCCCGACGGTTGCCGTGTGTTGCTTAATCGTATCTTAATGAACCGAGAGATTCACTGATTACAGTCGCCAATGAACAAGAAGAGCCGGAGGCAGTTTGAGAACGACGATATATTAAAAGTTCGTTTAGGAACAGACTCAGCATTTATTCTCAAGAGAGTCTTACAGCCTTATAACTTCCGATGTCCGACAAGTGAACGCACGTAACGTGTGGCTGGAAACGTTTTTGTGTTCAATTAATCATCATTATGATCGCATTTTCTATCCACTGCTGGATGAATGCCCCTGCTTGACCCATCGCCTCCTCTCAGGTCCTGTGCTGCCACAATGGATGTCATGCACGTGGACCCATCTCAACGCTCCAATGGGCACAGCAATAACACCTTTGCCTGCATTCAACTCCCGACTCGCTCGCCTGTCTGTGCCGAGTTTCTACGTTCTCCCCCTGTTCTGCAGAACTTTCCTCCTGCTTCTCCGCTTCATCCCACGGCTTGCCACTCGTCTTGTAGAGTCACTTAATCTTCATCTTCTTGGTTCTTTCGGTAAAGTCACGTAGAAGGGAAGTAATAAAATAATAAAAATAAAACATAAAGTCACGTAGAAGGGAAGTAATAAAATAATAAAAATAAAACATAAAGTCACGTAGAAGGGAAGTAATAAAATAATAAAAATAAAACATAATTGTTTATTATGTTTTATTTTTAGTATTTTATTACTTCCCTTCTACGTGACTTTACCGAAAGAACAAAGAAGATGAATCCCTGCAGTCACGAAAGCTTTAAATCGTCACTTAATCTTGGCCAACCGCCCCAATGTGGGACTCTCCTGAGAAGAGTTTGGACTTAGTGTGGTAAATAAATCGTCATCATCATCATCGTGGTTATTATTATTATCTCCACAGCAGTCGTAATCGTTGGTGTATCGTCTCCTTTGGGCTATTCACCAGTCTTGTCCATAAGCCATCATTCCTTATCAGGAAGTGTCCTGCCCAAGTGCACTTATTTTATCATTCATTACGAAGTTTCTGATTGGCATTTGTGCCCTGATCCTCTGCCTGTCTAATTCCAAGCTGCTTTGGGCACTCTTTAGATTTTCTTTAGTTTTAGTTTTTTCGTGGCCAGGGTTCGCGTCTATGCCATAGCTGGCAGATCTAAGCGATAGTTGATCGAAAACTTTCCTTTGCACGCACATCGCTAACCTGCACTTCGTTATGAAGTTCAGCTCTTACATAGAAAAGCAGTAAAATAACGCGGTGTTACACTTCAAAATAAGTTTATCATGAGGTCATTTGATTTTATGTTTCTATCAAAACGCCGAGAATATTGTAGTGTGTGCGTGTGCAGTGGTGGAAATGGGCCGGAATGCCCCAGAACGCCGTGGTGGGAGTGACATTTTAACCTGACTGCATTTCGGAAGGAGTCAAGGATGAATCTTGTATTTATGTGACTCACACATAGACCCCTAGACTAAAAGAGAGACCCACAGATACGCACAGAAACCCACAGACACGCTCAGAGACTCACATACATACACAGAGAACCACAGGCACGCACAGAGACCCACAGACACACACACAGACCCACAGACACGCACAGAGACCCACAGACACGCACAGAGACCCACAGACACGCACAGATACCCACAGACACGCACATAAACCCACAGACACACACAGATACCCACAGACACACACAGAGACCCACAGACACACACAGAGACCCACAGACACACACAGAGACCCACAGACACACACAGAGACCCACAGACACGCACACAGACCCACACACCGAACTAAGCTCCCCCTCCTCATATCTCGTGTGGTTGGGAATAATCATTTCTGAGTTCCCCCAGTAATTGCCTTCCCATCTCCAGCGCTGTGTGTGTTGTGTACCGGTGCTGATGAGCCAGAGTATTAAGTATTTGAATGGCGCGTACTGCCGACCGAAATGAGACGCGAGGCTGTAGTCGTCATTAAAAGCACGAAGTGCATATTAGCGATGGAGGGAATGTTGTTTCCGCAGCACGTGTGTGTGCGTGTATGCGTGTGTGTGTGCGTGGTAATGAACGACAAATGGAGTGGGGTCGGGGGAAAGGAGAACACATTTAAAGCAAGTCAAAAAATGCACATTCGTAAGAATACACCACTGTAGTTCATGGTGTTGTGTAAATGTGGCAAGACCTTCTTAACGAAGCTAAAAATATATTTTTTTATTTTACCAGGTAAGGCCCACTGAGATATGGCTCTTTCTCAGAAGCGACCCGGCCACAAATGATAGCTCAACGAAGTGGCTTCTCATGGGGAAATTTATAGCAGCCACATACCTTACACACATGTTGATGATAAATAATTCTAAAATGCGAAGAAAAATCCACGCGACCGCGGGGAGAACATGCAAACTCCAAATATACAGCAGCAGGCGTCAGGGTCGGGATGGAACCCACGCCCTCCTGTATACCAGGCGAGGTAGTTAACATCTCGCCACCACGACGCTCCTAAGCCGACGTGTCACTATTTTTTTCTACAGCGTGCTGAGATCATGATGCGTTAAGATGCCACGTGCAGCCAAATTGCATGCGAATGACCAATTGCCGTGTACAAATTAGGCATTGCCATTTGGAGAGTCACGGTGACTTTTACACTCAATGTTTGGCATTTCTCATTATATTTGCTGTCCAATAATTACGCATTGTCAACGCACTGTCGTTACGGTGGAACAACTATAACTGATGCAATTCACGAACCATTATTTGTTTTTACATTGTGGTCAATGTAGCGGTCTGTAATGGATAGAGGGATCAATTACATACAATATATATGGATAAACACCATTGATTCTTACACATCTATAATTGTGAGATTAACAATGTTAAATGGACATTTCTTTAGTGCATTGAACTATGAACTCAGTTCGATTGCCGGCGACGGCTAACATCAGTGGCAAAAGAGATATCTAAACCGGTCCAGGGCACCTCCTCCTTCACCAACCCCCACTGACCAGCGTGGTGAAGTATGGTCAAAACAATGCCCATGACCGACACGGCATGGGTATCCCTTTATCCAGCAGTGGATTGACAAATGGATGTTACAATATTCTTTTGCCTATGAACCTATCTACGTGACTTTACCGACAGATTCTATATTTGAAGCTTTCATGACTGCAAGGATTAATTTTCATAGGTTTTTTCGGTAAAGTCACGTAGGTAAAAAAATAAAATTAATAAAAGTAAAATAAAAAATTAAATAAAAATCACGACGTTTCGGAGGCAACACAAGCTTCCGTCTTCAGGTGGAACCGTCACAGCACGATAGCTGTATCAATAGCTGCATATTTACCGAAAGACCCAAGAATATGAATTTCTGCAGTCACGAAAGCTTTAAGTCAGCATGTTACAATGTCTTCACAATAATCGATGCAAGACCACACTCCTAATTTTTCAACAATTAAAAAACAAGTGTTCACTTATACAGATGCTCTATGCGAGACAAACACCAAGGCAGTGTTTACAGTTGCATTTGAGGTGTTAGTAGATCTCTGTATGTGCGCGCGTGTGTTACGTGCGGTAGTGTAGCGGTTAGCACGCTGCACTATGAACCCGGCGGCACGAGTTCGATTCCCTGCTCGTGGCCAAGACCAGTGACGATTATTTGAACCGGTCCTGGGCTTCCCCCAGGTCGACTCAGCCTCAAATAAGTACCTGGTGCGGTGTATAGTAAACATCGACACTGGGGGGCACAAAGGCGGTCGGGCGTGGTGCTGCTGGCCACCCACCCCTTCGTGTACCTGTTCCGGCCTTCGTAAGTGCTCGCTAACAACACTTGCCCCAACAGTTTGTTAAGGCCAATACGGGGGGGATCTTTTTTTTTTGTCACATGTAACCAAGAGCGGTACAGTAATTTTAAACGTTTGCTGAATACATTTCACAGCGTTTGAACCCAACTCCCGTGGTATATTTGCTCGCGCGCTACAATGGCATCGGCCATACACCGTTGCCGTGTTTGTCCAGCAATGTTGTCACGCGTTGACCCTTCTCGAATACAACTCGGGCAAGCGAAGAGCGTGCCCGAGCAAGCGCCGTCGTGCGCCCAGGAATGAGCCGACTAAGCACGCGGAGTGCCCCTTGCTGCACGTGTGATGATGTGTCCTTCTCATCCTACCGTGAGCACAATCACTCAAAGGTTTCCTCTGCAGCAAACCGATTAGCGCAAGGTCTTCATCTCTCTCGCCCACCTCTCTCTGTCTTCTCGCAGAGGCCCTTTGGCTGGCCATCGGACAAACACGGCCTCGGCATCGCGCGCTTTCTCAGGCGCTTCCGCGGCCGTCTGGAACGCTCTTCCTTTCGATAGTAGGAAGCCACTGGAGCAATGCACTTTTAAATCATCATCCGGATTGAAAACTCATTTCTTTAGAATTGCTTTTTGTGTTTAGTTTGTTGTCCTTCCCCGGCACCTCCGATTAGCGCGGTTGGCTACGTACGGTGCGAAAAAAGTTCAACACTACATGCAGCACATATATAAATAGCTCAATTAAACCGTTGAAATAATATCAAACACAACCTTGATGTACAATGCGCTGCCTTTTGTCATCCACTACTCGATGAAGACCTCTCTCCCATCGCTGTATCAGTAATGGGAGTTGTTTGACCATACTTCGCCACGCTGGTCAGTGGAGGTTGGTGAAGGGGTGGGAGGGGCCCAGGACTGGTTCAGACATCACTCCCCGCCACTGATTGTTAGCCGTGGCTGGGAATCACATACAGATTGCCGGGTTGATGAGTGCAGTGCGCTAACCACGGTACCACCTCTCCACCCCAACTCATTGAAATTGGTTCAAGGCTTTGCTGCATTTAGGAATTAAATATTTTTAGGTGGATTTTTTTTTTATTCAAAACAATTTCACCATCCAGGTTTATTCTCCTTCGTGAAGGTCGACTATGCAACTGCGGGCTCTCGCAAAAGCAGGAAGTGGGAGTGAGGCGTCATATTGTCGATCCTGATGAACGTATGACCTTGATTTGCTTGAGATATTTGAAAACATTCGTTTCGCATCGGTAGGCAAACCATGTGCCCAGAAAAAGGTTGCAAACGAACTTATAGATACAAATGAAAAAATGCATGTGCATTAACCTGCTTGCTGTACTGCTTTCCAGAGAAAATATTTAGCAGATGGATGCCTGACATCCATGATCTCTGCATGGCACAAAAACCTTTTTGCATGGGCAAAGGCCTCTCCCAATGATCTCTTTCCACCTCCATCCAGTCTCTTTCTCCGATTCTTATAACCTCATCCCACTGTCCCATTTTCTGTCTATCTCTCTTCCCACTTATCTCTGTTGGTCTCCATTACATTGTTAATCTCGCCCATCCGTCATTTAATAAGATGCCCTGCCCAATTCCATTGAAGTGTTTTCACTCCGTAAACACCCTCTTATTTTTCGATTAATTGTAATTTCCTCCTGACATTTCCCAATGCTCCTTTCCATTGCTCCTTGGCATACTTGTAGCTTCCCTCCTTATACTATTCATCATCATCAGCCATAGTCAATCTACTGCTGGATGAAGGCCTCGCCAGGTCATCCGCCATCTCTCGCGGTCCTGCAACGCAATAATCCACCGAGCACCTGTACACAAACTGACAGATCATTCAGGGAATATGAACGTGCGCTGGGAACGTCCTCTCGTTCCTTAGCTGCCACTTGTACCATTATTCGAATGTAATTAATATGCAGAACGGATGAAGAATAAGAACAGCCGCAGCTGCGATACAACCTCGTCGAGCCCTTACAAGCACGGTGCTGGTGTGCTCGTTTTCCGAATAAAAAAAATAAAAGCAATGCCCCATAGCCCAAGACGTCAAACGCTCAAAATTTGTTTTATTTCCTTCAAAAGTAAAAGCGCCTAGCCTGACTTGTCGCCACGGCGTTGATATTTTCATAGCGCGTGCCGAAGTTACCCGCACGCAGCCCGCACACTGTTGCGGAGGCAAGCAACAGCGAGGTCTCAGCGAGTGAAAAGAAAACATTACGGTTGCAGCGTGCACAGATTAGTGGCTTCACCACGGACGTTGTTGGCACTGGCGAAAAAAAAGAGCAGCTCCCGGTTTTGCGATTAGCCTGCCCCCCCCCGCCACCATCCCAAGCATTTCCAACCCGGTCGGCTGTGAATAATTTGCCCGTGAAAACACGGAAAGGAGGGCGGGTTGTCTTGTGCTCCTACAACTGTAGCATTTGCGATGAGTGATGGGCTGACGCAGATGTGCATGGGTGGCTAGCGACCCGTGCCGCCCTTTGATGGGGGGCGGAGATGGGGGGGGGGGGCTGCCCGGTTGTCAGTGGTGGCGGTGTGTTTGTGTGTGTGTTTGTGTTGTGTGTGGGACCAACCCAATAGGTTATTTCCAAGCTCCCGTCCTTTATATGTATAGTTGATCCTTGTATTCATCCATTCATTTATGTTTTCGTGTTATTCATGCGAGGCGTCCTCATGGCAACTTGGGGTAACCAGAGAGTTATGGGTATTCCCCTTAAACGAATGCAGTATGAAATATATAGAAGGTTAGGTGATGGTGTCTCCTAACAAATACTGTTAAGGAAGGCAAAGAGGGCACCAGCTCAACTATTCTTACCTGAATATGGCCCCATGATTCTAGCATTGGGCGTTGTGTGCAGGGGAGAGAATGGGAACAGGATCGGATGAGATCGAGGAAGCTTCTCAGGATGTCAAGTTTATTTTGTTAACCACAAGAGACGAGGATAGTCTCATTTTGCCGCAGGTGAACTAAAAAATGCATTAGGTAAAAAAAAAAACATATTGTACGGAGTGAAAGTGGACCATAAATGGGGTGTAAAATCAGCGCCTCGCAATCATTAGGCCAGAGAGTTAGTGAACGACATTTCCTGGTCATTTTACATTATGAATGCTAGTTTACAGCCCTTGGTCAATTCACTGCTGGATGAATGCCTCCCTACGTCGTGGCGGTGATGGGAGCTGTTTGACCATACTTCACCACGCTGGTCAGTGCCAGTTGGTAAACTCGCCAGTGATGTTATCCGTGGCCAGGAATTCAACTTAGGTAGCCAGGTTCTTAGCATAGTGTGTGAGGCACTGTGCCACTGTCCTTCAACTCTCCCACATCATAAAACATGCAAAATATATTATGACAACCTCATCCCCACCATAGAAATATGGAGTATCCACCAGTGACTCAGAGCTGAGTATAACACGACAAAATTAACCTGCCACATTCACGTGAGAAACCACAAACACTTAAAATCGAATTGCAAGTTTAGTTCAACAATGCAAGCTATGCATTACACGAATGAATTGCAGGCAAACATCGTCTATTGTTACTGGCTATGGTCTCGATGCAGATAATAGGAAGATATTCACTTTTTTGCAAATAAAGTACTGTAGTTGGAAGGTGATTTATTATGTTATGTAAAACACACGCGCTGACGTGTCGAGTCTAAACTGATAATATATCAACGCCACACAGCAAGGATATACAGGGAGCTTCAATAAAATGTTTTAACACTTCTGAGAATTTGCAACAATACCACAAGAATGTGCATCCAGGCTCTGGAGACCACCTGGAGAAGATTCCAGGCATTTGTTGACAGTGATGGTGAACAAGTGGAAACAATTTTACTTTTTGAAGCTATTAACATACATTTGTCATCATGTTACAGTGTAGTATCCGTTGTGTTTACATTTAAAACGTTAGTCCCACTTGCATGTCAAAGGTGACACGCAACTTCTTTATACAATCTTGATTTGAAGCTTTCGTGACTGCAGAAATCCATATTCTTTGGTTCTTTCGGTAAAGTCACGTAGGTAGAATTTAAATATTGTACGCTGGCCAGTGAAAGAAATTCGAAGCAAGGAGGCTCTCAGTTTGGCTGAACCATACGTTTGATGGAAATGCCAAGGAAGGGAGCACATGGCGAAAGAAACTGTGAATACAGGAGTTAACATTAGTTGTGATTAGTTGCTATAAGAATAGATTAGGTATGCCTATATTGAATTTACTCTTTGGTTTTTTCGGTAAAGCCACGTAGGTGAAAACAAAATAGAATACAAATAAAACAACTAATTTAAATCACGACGTTTTGGAAGCAACACAAGCATCCGTCATCTGGTGTGACTGCTTCAGCAAAATTACATTGCGAATCGTGAAATATTGAGGCGTCTATTTTACCGAAATCGATTAGAAAAAAGGCCTATTCTTGTTATTTTGGCTCTCCCCTACCCACCCAACCAGCCCCGGCCACCCCGACCATCACCATCAAAAAAATCGCGTTCAAGGCGCGCGCGTGGGGGTCACTGATTGCAGTGTCACCTTGTCTCTGCGGCACGCGTCTGTGCCTGGCCGGGAGTCGAGCGAGCTGGGTGGTCCTACCCGACCACGTCTCTTGGCGGGCGAGGGCCTCCCCCTGTCGAGCCCTCCTCTCCCGAGCTCGCTGCGACCCGACGCGGGCCGACTCGCCGCATCCACGACCCCGGGGGGCTGCGACAGGTGAGTCGTCGGGAGCCTCCGCATGCCGCGGCTGCTGTTGCCCAACACACGCACATCACAGTCGGTGCCGGGTGAAGCTAGTGCGGGGCCCGTAGCATATATGTTATAAAGGGGCACTAAATTAAAAAATAACACACGTACATATTAAAACACTATTTTTATTACATTACACTTGCATAGTAAAGTAATCGTATGTTTTCATTTGCTATACAGCCAGATAATACGACAAATCGCTAACTTTAAACACCCAGTCGTTCGTAAAAGTTGAAGGCAGCATAGTACTATAGTAATAAAGCAAGTGCAAAATCACTGAACCGGAATTGATAGCTTGAAAGCATTTAGCGCGGGGCCCTTGAAAGTGCGGGACCCGTAGCTACTACATATGTAGTAGCTACATGTACTAATGTAGTAGTACTAATGTAGTAGCTACATGTACTAATGTAGTAGTACTAATGTAGTAGCTACTACATATGTAGCTACTTTTGCTACGACGATAATCCGCCACTGATCACGGTAGTGGGGACCATCGATGGCCGTGCGCGTAGCACTTACGACGTTTGGAGCGCCACGCAAGTGGATGGTGTCGCCAGGACTATTGCACCTGGTCGAATCAATCTCTCAACGAGCCGTCAATCTCTCCACGATGAGCACGGTTGGATACGTACGGCGCGAAAGAAGTTCAACATACATACTTAAATCATGTATTTGAGCGCAATTCGGCGAGACCGGCAGAGGACAGAGCATTGTGCTACACACCGCTAACCCTCTTTATTAAAAAGGGTACTGCACATTTAGTTTTATTTTCTACCTACAGAAATCAGACTGACCATCATCGGTGCTTCGCCAGAAATCCAACCCTGGTGGCCTGCAGCACGGTCCAGGGCGAGAAATCACCCTACCACATCCTCGTGATTGCAAGCAGCACTTAGCGTCAACAATCTGTGCGACTTTAGACATCTTTTAAACGTGCCGTTGATAAGCCTGCGACCTACACAGAAAACACCTCTAACTTAAGGACCCAATCTCACCTGGTGTCGCCGTAGTCTCTGCCAATCGTCTTCTTGTCCTCCTGTTGCATACTTCCAACTGAACACCACGGCAAAGCTGCGGTTATAACGTGCCCTTTATAAACACTACGCTGTTCACCTATACGCAACGGCTGTGTGCCGAGGCTTTGCTATTGTTATGCAAACAAGCTCGGACGCGTGGGTGTGCAGGGAGGCTGATAACACTCAGCCGCAGGTATCGCTCGATTGTCAATAGGCATTCTGGATAGGTCGGTGTTGTGGCTTATTTCGGTACCTGGGAGGTCCCCTGGACGTTCAGAAACGCCCACAACGTGAAAGTTTGAATGGGCTGTTTTTTTTTCATGCAGTATTTGTTTAGTCTGGTTTCCTCCAAACACTGCAGGTATTTGGTAACGTTTGAGACAGCATTGTGAAGCCATGCTAAACGTGATTAAAAACTGGATTCTTCACAGATAAATTATGTTCTACTAGTTCATGAAGAATATCTTCGCTAGGCAATCGTTTTAAAAAACATAATTAACCTGTTATAATTTTTTTCTTACAATTTTGATCTACGACCAGACACTAACTACTCCAAAAATTAGTATTTTCCGCAAAACAAAAATTGACAACTTGCTTCAACGTCATGTTTAAAGACGTACCCATCGGAAACCGCTCAATTTAGATATTCCGTTTAAATTAGAAAGAACAATTGTTGAACTTAATACTATGAGGGGAAGCAATCTTTAACCGTTTTCAAATTATTTAGATTTGATCATCATAAAATATGTATTTGTTCACTCAAAACCGCTTTAATCCAAAATAAATAAAAAAACAATAAAGGATATAACAATGGTTTTCGCTGTAATTTTATTTGCTGTTTAACGCTCTTTGAAACTAAAAAACACCTTATATTTTGAATTGTTTCTGAATGACATTTACAACCATTTTCATGGGACACTTAACAATAGATTTGGTGGCCTTAAAATTTAATCTCAGATCTTCAGATTTCCCTGTTGTGTCCTCAAAGCTACGTACCAAATTTCAGCTTTCTACCTTGTCGGGAAGTACACGAGAGGTTTTTGAGACCAGACATACATACAAAGGTCTTCTTCTATATATAAAAAAGGGAAAATTGTGAATGTGTGTCTGTTCAGAATATTTAGCGTTCTTCCCGACATGGAACAAACTTGAAATTTGCCATGTGGGCACTTTCCAGACTGTACACCATGCAAAAATTAAAAGAATAGACTTTGGCATTTTTTTGGGGGGGGGGGGGGGGCGCAATAATGAATATTTTTTGCACGGCAAGTGAGCTGTGACGTCACTTCTGTCATGTCACCCGCGCATGCTGACGTCACGCACCCCAACCCAGCATTGCTGCTTTATTATTTCAGTCGTTTACTGCCGTACGCACCCTGAAAGTTGTGTCTGCAGCAAGCGCGTGTATGTGTACCTGTGGACCAGTGGACGCACGCACCTGTGTGTGGGGGGAGCGGTAGTGTAGTGGTTTGCGCGCTGCGCTATGAACCCGGCGACCCGAGTTCGATTCCCGCTCACGGCCACCACCGGTGGCGATTATTTGAACCGGTCCTAGGCCTCTCCTAGGTCGGCTCAGCCTCAAACGAGTAACTGGTGTAGTGTGTGAACATCGCCACTGGGGAGACAAAGGCGGCCAGGCGTGGTGAATCCAAGTCCCGGGCAAAGTCGGGTAGTAAAGCTAGTTATTTATGTAGATGAATTTTCACGCAATTACAGGGATATCCTTCAACGCAAGTTGAATTGCGCTGCATGGAGCCTGTTTTCTTATAGACCAACATGTTATAGGGGGATGTGGGTGCGATACCAAAGTATGAAATTACGTATGATTTCAATTATTTCAGCTCAGGATTTACAAAATACATATGCGCAGTATACCTTCTTTTAGCAAATTAAGTAGATATTGGCCTACGAAAGCCTATCTTCTTATTAAAAAATATCATCACATTCTCCTCTCGTCACTTTCTCTCTTCTGATGCAGTCGTGTAGAGTTCCAGACGATATTCACGGTTAGCAAGTTCGTGAATAATGAGGGGATACTGTAAATGTAATACTTTACATTGCAAAAATGACTTAATAAGTCTAATAAGAAATAATTAACATTACTATGAACAAAATTACTTAATAAGGAGTAACTTCAGGGCTTCTTGGTACGCTTCCTTGTGCTGCTTCTACTCAGATCTGAGATGGCTATGTCTAGCCCGTGACACTGGGCGCGATGACGCCGTCGCAAATATTTTAACTTAGAATTTCTATCACTGAAAATACATTTTAATATTGAAAAGTTACAATTTTGTGTTAGATTTTTTTGTGCACGTAACTGTGAAACCCATGGCGAAAGTGTGAAGTATGAAGATTCTTCCGCCGTTGCTGATCATTGTTGCAATGGTGTGGGCTCTCATGATATTGTCTTTTCCGAGACCAAGGTGCTCTGCAAACCTTCTGGCTACCATCAAAGATTTGTTCATGAAGCCATCCAGATATACAAACATAGATATAACTTCAACCGTGATGATGGGTACAAACTGAGCAATCATTGGAAAGATGTTATTAACCATGTAAAAAAGATTTAACTACGCATATTTGTACCATCTTGACAGGTACTAGTCTATTTTACCGAGTTGTTGACATCCTCAGCGTTTAACAGTGCTGCTATTTTGTGGTTTTGGAAGCAAACATCGGATGTAATCCTTGCGGTGTTTGCGGTGTATCAGCTGTACCTTCCCTTCTAGCCCGCCCCACCCTCCCAATCCAACTGCCTCATTTAGATAAGCTCCTCCCCCCTCCCCTTAACCAGTATTTAAGATCTTGCCTCTTGGATTTCTCTTCACTTGCTACAGTAAATTTGGCTGACGGTCCCACCTGAAGACGGGGACTTGTGTTGCTTCCGAAACGTCGTGATTTAATTTAGTTATTTTCATTTATTATGATTTTTTATTATTTTACCTACATGACTTTACCGAAAAAACCTAAGAGTGTGAAGTATGCCCCTAACATATGAAAAGCACAACTGCGCTTTGGGTAATGCACATTTCGCGATCAACTCCTGCATACATTGATCTTTATTGTTCAAATAAGCAGAAGAAACATCAAAATAAAGCAACACTTTATTTCAAACGTAATTATACAAGATCCAAAGGGCAGCAAATGTGCTGAAGAGTGAAATAAGAGTAATTTCTACAGCATGCTTATGAACCAACGGTAATCACAATAACTTTAAGAGGGAATTTTTCGAATTTGTCAATTTTCCAAATGCAACTCTCATTAAAATTTGGATTTAGCTTCAAACAGCACACATCAACTCCAACACTAATACAGTAACACTAGCACTCATTAAGGCAGTGCGGCTATATATGATTAGAGTCATCAAGTGTAAAGAATTTATTGGTAAGACAGCTAAACCTGAAAAAACAAACGAAAACAGTTTTTTCGTAAATGAAGTATTTTCAACTTTCAATACATACAGAACAGGTGCCAAAAGGCAACACAACTACATAGAATTTAAGTGGCTAATGACTAGTTCGTTATGAATGACAAACCAATCTGCATGAACAAACTTCAAATCTTTTAACGTGTTTGTTAACATGCTCTCTGCAGTGCTTAAATCACCACCGAGAATCATCCACTGCGCGGCGAGTTTGAATCTGTAAAACAAAACAGGGAAATATAAAAATGTTTACATGTCAGGATTCATGACTATTAATAATTTAAGGTAATGTACATATAATTAGCATTTAGAATAAACAAAAATACACAACTCTTCATTTATCTCACACATAATTGTGCATTTATTTGAATGTAAATGTTATCACATCTTCAAAACATCTATAGATTTGAAATAAAATCGATAGGAGGTTCAATACCTGGCTCTTTCACTGCCTGCGCATCTCCAGCAAGCTCTCCCTCACCCTGTCCGGCTGTCAAGAGTGCATCAGCAATATCATTCTGCTTCTCCTCCTCTTCTATTTTCTTTCTTAGCTCCTCCTATGTCACAAAGAGCAGATTGAACTTCACATGAGGAAATTAATGTAAACAGGGCATTAAGCATTAAATTATTCAAAGAATACTGATTCTTAAGATCCACGCAGAAAATAGTGTAAGTGCCAATGTATTATTCCTGCTAATGGAATGAGACGAGTCAGAAAATACAAAACGTTACCTCGAATCAACAAATCATGAAATTGCAAAGGGAGTGAATCATTACATGCCTACTTCAGTTAGTTTCGATAAACTAGTAAAGAATGTACCTCGCAGAGAATGGTAAGTTTGGGAGGAATGTCTTCAATCTGCACAAAGTCATCTTCATCAGATTTCTGACTGAGGCTGCCTGAGCTTGAGGCCGACCCCTGCTGCTGCAAAGTGAACACAGGAAAAAAACCATGAACCTATTCGTTAAAATGCAACCCAAATAATGAACGCATTATTCTATAAATACGTACATAGGTTGTGTGCCAGGGTGTCTGACATGCATGTATAACTTCATTAATGAGAAGGGCTTAATTAGCAATAAGGTGCTCCATTGTAGCATTCTATTGCCATCATCCTGTCACTCCTGCAGATTTAAATGCAACAACAGCGTTCCTTGACCAATTTTAAAGCAACGACTCGTTCATGCACATAGCCCAGAATAAACATCCTAGGTAGGTATACACAAAATCTTTGGCTTAAAAAAAAATATCTAATGTATTTTTTAAATAATTCTGGTGAATATTATCAACTGTAAGCAGTTTTATGTGGGGAAACACACCGGGATGTTGACCAAAATGGGGGATTCGGTGTCTTGGCTGCTGTGTTCAGACAAATGCTGGGAGCCATCCTCTTGTCCAGTTGCATCAGCGGTGGTGGTGTCATGATGACCAGTGTTTTCTCTGCCGCTTCCAAAATCACCTGGTTGGTCATCAAAGTGCGAAGGTTCACTTGCCACTGGTAAGGTGCAATCCACCGGGTCTGAAAAAACATGTTTATGTAATAGACTTTAACATTTGAAAATGTCCACAAAGAAATGTCAAAGTGGTACATGGGCCAAATAACTTTGAAAGCATTCAACTTACCAACGATGATAATTTGTGCTCTGAATTGAGCTTTAGGAGAAGAAACACGAGAAGCTTTGGCTTGACTTCCTTCAGTTATGGGCTCAATCTGCAAATGTAAATATTATTGGATTCAATGATTCACGTTAAGTTGTACTATATAAATATCCCAAAGAAAAGAAGCCGAAACAAATCTCATGTTTAGCACTCCACGTGAAAATAAACGATGAATTTGCTTACGATGCCATTTTGTACGTGATGTGTTCTTTTGGAAATTCCATAGTCATTCCCCATGCATTTATCAACATTGCATTGGGAGGCACCGCTTCACACACCTGTTCTGGTTCATCATCTGCAACTCCACCAGATGCTTGCAGGGAAGTGGGAACGTCTAGTCTTGCTGTGTCAAATTCGTGTTCGTCCTCCACCTCCTCATCCTCCCCGCTCCCATAGTTAGTCAGGGGTAGTGTCTCTGCTTGTGACAAACCTTAAGCAGATAATCAGAATAGTTATAAAATACATTTTTAAGATGCTACTTATATTTAGTAGAGTTCATCTTCTTGGTTTTTTGAGTAAAGTCACGTAGAAGGGAAGTAATAAAATAATAAAAATAAAACAATAAAATAATTCTCACGACGTTTCGGCTACAACGCAAGCAGCCATCTTCAGGTGAAAAATGAGACACTGCCAAGCTAGGAGCTTATATATAAGCTGAGTTGGAGGTGGAAGAAGAGCGCCTTAACAAAAGAATGTGCATATCAAGAGAAATTTAGCATATTCATGGGAAATGCGTAGGAGGTGGGCGGGAGGGGTTTCAAAGTCATATTATGCCCATGCATTATGAATGGGCATAATATGACTTTGAGGCGCTCTTCTTCCACCTCCAACTCAGCTTATATATAAGCTCCTAGCTTGGCAGTGTCTCATTTTTCACCTGAAGACGGCTGCTTGCGTTGTAGCCGAAACGTCGTGAGAATTATTTTATTATGTTTTATTTTTATTATTTTATTACTTCCCTTCTACGTGACTTTACCGAAAAAAACCAAGAAGATGAATCCCTGCAGTCACGAAAGCTTTAAATCGAAATTTAGTAGAGTTGATAAGCTATCTTAAAATGGTTATATTGTGGTAACAAAAATAATATCTTACTGTAAAAGGTATGCCTGGGTGGGGCATCTTCATTTTCCCCTTCATCTTCATCATCCTTACATGAGAGTTGGCATTCCATAGCCAAGTCATCATCTCTAGATTTCCCCAGGTCTTCTTCTTCAGTTGCATCGATAGTCATCACCGAACGAGCAGCATCTTTATTCTACATAGAAAACCAAGGACAGGACATTTTTCTTAACTTTCAAGCTCAATTTAAATCACACATATAATGCAAGACATGTACAACCAAATGCCTAAGAATGAATTACCGTTTGCTCATCCTTAGTGGCAGGTCCTTCAGAATTGGATCCATTGCTATATTCCTTATGCTCTCCACTAGTTTCTGGTCCCTGTTAAGCAAAGAAAAAGCATTTTTATTACAGCACATTTATCTTTAACAAAAATTCAAGTATACTATCAAAGTAAGATATGGCCTATTATAACATGTCATAATGATGACGTCACCCGGCTGCTGCTCTATTTAAGACTGGGAGCAACAGGAGAGCTTTACCATTCTTGCCCGATGAAGCAGATTGTAATTACCAGCGAAACGTCGTACTCAAATTTTAAAATGCTGTTGATTCTCTCTTCAACACACCGGTGGGCTAAAGAAGTTAATTATTTTTACTATTTGGCCGTGTCGGGTGGTGGAGGGTTACGACACATTTATAGATAACGCGATCCGACCCAAAAACCTATATTATGAACATGTAATTGGTCGATTATAATGAATGTAACATGTAATATGTACATCTGTAGACCTTATTATGCAACTCTTTCCGAGGATATTTACCGTGCTACCTCTAGAGTAGCTGGCTGGTTGCGAGTTGTAAAAGCATGTTTCGCAAACTGAAGGATGTGAGTTACATCGGCGGGTGCCGATTCAGTGGTTCATATCTCCAGGGTTAATCAAATAAGTACCACTTTCGGGAACATAAACAGTGGTTGTACAATGAATATACATTACCACATAGTAATATTTTCACCACGTGCCCAGGGCTATTAACAAGAGATCAACGCTACCTGAACCACCAACTCATTAGAATGGAGTAACATTTTCCTCCAATATAGCAAAAAACAAATCGCGAAATATCACAAGATGTGCTTTTTGCAAACATGGCAAACCTGCTTGCAGGCCCCATGTGAGACCTCCCAGCGTGGTGGAGGGTTGGCCCGCCTGCGCTGTTGCAGGCAGTTTGCCGATGGCATACCCCCCACCCTGCTGCTGCTATCCAGGTCTTCCATGAGTCGGAAAAAGGACAACTCATTGAAGAGGATCTCCGAGATCTCAACGAGAAGGTCTTCGCCGCAGTCTTTGAGACGACGCCCATGGAACTTATTCAAAGATTCCTAGAGATCAAACACATAATTAAGAATATGTAGAGGCAGGGTGTAAACTTAGTATTTTTTTAACCAAATGAAAATGCTATCTTCAGCCGTTTGGTTTACCTGCAGCACAGACCCAAGCTGTTTGTGAAAGAAGCGCACAAACTCTTTGCTCTCATCTTTCTGTTGTGTTAGGCTCAGTACCATGCGGCGAATGTAGGTTAGAAGTTGGGGTGAGCAAATATCATCCATATGCTCCTGGTGGTAATGACTAATTCAAAAGTTAGTAAATTATCATGACAAATTCATATCCACATTTAAACCATGTTTAACACAATGTTAGTGATGCTAAACGTTGGTCATCCATAAATTTAAACACAGCAGTGTATTATATAAAGCAACAAATAGATATACCACACTTCAATTGTGACCACACAAAACACCACGATACCTTAAGATATGGAATAACTTCAGTCATTATGTTTTTTATCTGCCTGTCCACTTGCTGGGTGTCGACACGGGGACACGGGACATCCGACTCACTGTCACTCTCATCCCGTGCAGAGCCATTATCCATGTGCCCTGTGCCGAATGTGGAGCAGACAAAGGTGAAACACAATTATAGGGATGTTTTATGTTGCTTAACATAAATATGCTGTAGCCTTGCAGTGTTTTAGTCATGATTGAGCGCATGCAAGCTGAGAATGGTTAAATGTCTAAAAATAGATGTTGGCGAAGGGGTTGAGGAACAGCAGAGTGAGATGTTAACATGACAGCTCTACCTTTAGAGTTACCCACAGCCCCTTCCTCCAAGCTGTTGGTCTGATCAACCTCAGACTTCTCTTTCAAGTGCTTCAACTCTTTCATTTTGGCCAATGCCTTTTCTATATGGATCACTGTGCTGCCTACAGAGCAGAAAGATTATGACACAGCCCACACCACACAGGACATACATTTGGCATGTTAAGACTTGATTGTAAAAGCAGTGAGACAAATCAGGGGCAAAGAAATAAAGCAAAAAAAGAGCATACCATTGCCATTCCAACATTAAGAGGCATACCTCATAAAACATGTGCTATGATGCAAAAACAAGTAGAAATCGTTGTCAGCAGAGGGCTTTTACTTTGCTTACCTAGTTCATCGTTTGCAAAAGGATCTGGGCATGAAGAATTTGTACTCGTGTTTTCATTCAATTCTACCCTTTCTGGCTTCAGTGTTGTCATTCCACTGTATGAGTGCCTTTTAGCTTGAGCACCACCCACTTGTTCCTGTAAGTGCCCAATTACAGCATGTGTTAAAGCAGTGAAGCTTATCACGTGAACTTACCATTGCAATTTACACAAATATTACACGATAAAAATTTACAAGCGTTTTCATTGTAATTTTATTCATTGTCATTTTATTTCAGGCAAAACAAGAGTGCCCGATTATATGTACATCCATTTGGTCAAAAGATGCCGACCTCATCATCGCTGGTGGCCAAGCTGTCGCTGGGCGTGAGCTCCGAGTTAGAGGCTCTCCACACTGGCCCTCGCTTCTCCTTTGCACCCTGCTCTGTCAAATGTCGTGTCACAGTATCCTGTTGAAGATATTGACCAAACAATAAAGAATCTTTCAAAATGTCATTTAATAAAAATGTACAAAACCAAACCCCCCACATGTGAACACGTGATTTTTTAAAAATGTAATTAAACATTTAGTTAAAATTCACCATTCCTGTTACTACCTTTAATCTAATACGATTCTAAGCCCACACCTCCCATTAGCGCAGTTGGGCTACACACGGTGTGAAATAAGTTCAACATACATGCTACCTACTGGTATGAGGAAAGTGTGGTGGATAGTTACCTGGAGTAAATAGAGAGCTCGTTGACGAAGGTAGTCAGAGTTAAGCATCTGAAGTTCGTGGAAAAGTTCTATGAGGAAGTGTGGACGATTTTCATTTTGAGAGATGAGCGTTGCTACCTCTGAATATATTGTGTCACGCAAGGCTTCAAACATGGAGAACTCACTGCCAGGTTCTGCATAACAAAAAAATTGCAATCATTTATGTTACTATTTGCAATTTTAGACAATGGCATGTTGATGGTTTCAATGCTCAGAGTAAAAATATCCTTAACAGGATGTTCTGTGTTGTGGTTAAGTCTTACCAGAAGAGACATCATCCTGCTGTTGTTTGCAGGAAGATGCAGCTAATGAACCCCCCTGCATTGTGGCATCATCCACTTGTTCTGTTTGCAGTTGGTCGCTGTTGCCATGAGCAGCAACTGCTGTGCCACTGGCGATGGAAACATCAGCACTCTTGCCTGAAAAACATGTCGTACAAAAACCCCATTGCATTTCTGTTCATCGCAATAAAACGTAGTTTAATATAAATCTATTAAGATGACCACCCTAGCATGTGGTATAGGTGCAACAGTGCTTATTAGGTAAGTGCAATTGTTATTCACATATACCTTTCACAATCGGGATTTTCCTCTTCCTGCCCCTGCCAACAGGTGTCTTGTCTCTGGAGGCCAGGCTGGCCTGGGCTTTTGATTTTTGAGAGCGAAATGTCTTTGTAATAGTGCTAGGATCTCGAGGGTCAAGCAAGCTACTCATACTTCCCATGGACATTTCATCTGAGGGTCTTCCACCTCTCTCCTGCCAAGAAAAAAAAAAGTTGAAATGTCATTTAGACATGTTTGTTACTCTGAGATAAGAGTGTTTAGAGGCTTGTTTACTGTATACTCAAAGTTTTATTAGCATTTTATTTAATCATTTTTAGAATTCAGTTCAGGCATATTTAAAAATCTTACCATATTCTGTTTGGAGATTTTCTTTTGTTTATCCAATGTATCATTCGCTGAGGCACGTCCGTCAACATCTCCTGGAGTATCCAATTCATCTGTAGACTTGTTCGGATTTCTAGACGCCTTGCCATGTTCTCTGTTTACAAACAAAAAAGCATGTTTCAAGCTTAAATACCAGCGTTATGGTGTTTTAAAATGGATGAATCCTTGAAAATTCACAGCAAACCTCGATCAAATGATATAAGTGTAGTTAATATAAGAACTCGTAAGTGAAACATTAAATATTTATAGGCCCTTCAACCTAAAAAGATTAATGTTACCCCCGATTAAGTGTAATGTAATATATATTTATATCATAAGGTAATACTGTACCTTGTGTCCTTTTTGCTCACTGCTGTGCTCTCAAATAGCTGTGGAAAAGGAAGGTACTCTGACCGCAGGGAGAGGTCAAGCTCATTCCCATTATTTGGCATGTTAGGTCGGCCAAATCCAAATGCTGCTGCTGTTGGGATGTTCATGGCTAGAGGATAGACTGGCTGCATGTTAAATCCTGTAAAAAAATACATAAGTGAGATTAAAGACCGGCTTTTATATGTACATATACTTCTTTAAAATAAAAATAAACCTAAGTCACAAATAACATAAAGGATGCACATAAGTAAACTTCTGTTTGTAAAATTGAGCATTAGGTTAAATACTGTCTAGGTTACCCTTCTCTCACCCAGTTACTTACTGGGCACAGCAGCGTGATAGTTGGAGAAGCTATTGCTATGAAGGCCAGTGCTTTGAGGGCAGCCAAAGGATGCAAGGGGGGCGTCTCGGCGAGGACTTGTGGCAGAGGGAACCTCAGAGGCGGCCCGCTGCTCTCCTCTTAGTCCCGGCTGCTGTTGCATCGTTTCATTCAACATTGTCTGCAGCCTGCAATATGTCCATAAAAGTAATAAATCGTGACATGTGAACTTGTTATAAATTAACTCCAATCTAGTGGACCGTGCATGACATAATTCAATAATACCTTTGCACGTTGCTTTGCTGGGCAGCCAGCTGTGAATAGCACGTTGTGAGCTGCTGCATAATGAAGTGGACCTGAGGATTTCCCACAGTCTGCGGCAGTGTGCTGTACTGGCCTGTCAGAGCACTTTGCAGCAGGTAGGAGAGAGTCTGTTTTTGAAACAACAAAAAGGTCAGTGAACAAGTATTTTACTGCATTCAATAAACCAAGCAATATAAACAGAGCACAAAATAGATGACAATGCATGGTTCTGTGGTTTAACAACCAGGAATTAGACTACTCACTAACAATCCTTTTTATGACAATTTGCATAAAATTGTAATGTACAACTTTGCCGCATTAGTCCAATATAGCTTGTTACGCCAAGATAAAATACAGGAGGCAATCACATTTTGCATTTAACAACACTTAATGCAACTCTTCGATAAACAAGCCATAACATTACTTTAACTGACATACTATGTTGCTTTCCCAGTGCTTGTTGATAGGCCTTACAAAAATGTCCACTTGTTTTTGACTATTACTTCCCCTGTTTGTGTTTGCAACTTTTTCTCAAAGTTTCAAACCTGTTGGTCCTGGAGAAGAGTCTGACACATGGATGTGCTGAACTCAAGCTGGCTGCGCAACATGTCCATCTGGCCTTGCCACTGCTGTTTCTCCTCATTGAAAGACAACTCAGACGCCCATTGGCTGTTCTCCTGCCGCTGGTGGCTCATGTTCTCCTGCCGTCGAGTCTGGGAACTCGGGCTAATTCCATCCGAGCTTATGTTCCGCAGGCTCCTCTCCCATCTGATAAGAAAATATAAAGGCAACGTCAGTCATACTTAGAATATGACGTTATCTATTCATGTTTTATATAATTCAGACAATGGGTTTACACACTCAAGAATATACATGCCACAGTAAAATTGAAAATATATATTGAAAAAACCTTTATATAAACTAGTAGTTATGAATGAGTTATGTAGGCTTTAAAATGTAAATACCTCCGACGGCACTCGCTATGCTGTGACAACTCATGAAGTGGACTGAGGCCGGAGTCTGCAGCAAACACATCCAGCGGTTTCTCATCTGGTGCCACCTCCTCATCATCCTCTTCATCTCCATCAACTTTACAGAACTTGGAATTCTGAAGCTCTTCTTCAGCGGCAGCATCATCATCGTCATCATCGTCATCATCGTCGTCATCGTTGTCTTCATCGTCATCATCAATTGTGTACTGTGTAGAGCCTCCCCATGTCGCCATTGTCCTGCCAATTACAAGACAATCTTAGAACATCTGCAGCAAGAGATGTAGTTTAATGAGTATAACCAATACGGCTGCATGTTTATTGTAAATGTTTGCCATTGATCGGAAAAAATTGCGACAAGTGAAATTTCAATCATAAGCTGAAAGATGACAACAGTATACCTCTCAGTACGACTGAGTCTGTAGGAAGCTTGCGTATCAGAACATTCTGATGCGATAGGTTCTGAGCTCGCCTCATCTTTTTCCTGCTGATCACTTTGTTGCATCGTCATCATAGATTCCAACTGCTTCCGGCGCTGTCTCAGCTCTTCCCGCAGAATCTGGTGTCTGCGGATCTCTGACCAAAGCTGTGGACACAGGTATGTTTATCATTTTGAAAAGTATATTGTCAATTATTGGCTTTCTTTGGGTCTTTCGGTAAATTTACGTAGATAGCAGAATAAAATAAATATGAAAATAAATTGAAAAGATATATAATAAAATAATAACTATATATATTTTCTATAATAATAAATGATTAAAATACTAGTTTTATTCACTTCATTTTCATTCTTATTATTTTATTGTTATATCTGTGTGACTTTAGCAAAAGACCCAAAGAATATATTCTTTGTCAGTTGAGAAAACATTTATTTCGACAATGCAATTTTTGTTTTACCTGCGTGTCAACTGGTGACCTCGATGATGAAAGAGAGTTTTTGTCACGAGGTCGGGCGCCACTCTCTAAGCAGATTGCTGGAGTGGAGGATGCTCCCGGTACTGCACTTGGTAGCTGATTCACAACGCCACCAACCGAGTCCTGGGAAAATTAACCCGTAAAAACAAAGTTTTTCACTATAAATCCTTTAATTGCGTGCTCAATGGGCCACATCCCAGCCCACATTGGTCTTTGAAACGGGCGGCTAGAGTCCTCTCGTCCTCTGGCTTGAGATGGCTGCAACCTATGGGTCATATGATTGTCTGCCAGCATTAAGCAATTGGTAATTAAATATTTTAAAAAAATTTCCCTAAACAGTGTAAAATTTTTGAAAAAATTTTTCACGAAAATTAATTGTCACGCACAACGAGTCTGTGTGCAAAATGTCAACTCGATTGGATCACGGGAAGTGGGTTAAGAAACGACCGAAAAATTTGCACGGTCATAAGCAAGCAAGCACGCAAGCAAGTGAACTTAATATAAAGGATTTAATACGTATAACCCGTAAAAACAAAGTTTTTCACTATAAATCCTTTATATGCGTGGCAGCGAACTTAATATAAAGGATTTAAAAATATATTCGCCTGTGGAGGACGCGGGGATCGATCCCGCGACCTTTGGCATGGGAAGCGAGGGCGTTACCAACTGCACTACTCCGCCACGGCCTGTGGAGGGGTTACGCTCTGGGCTCTTATACTGTGACGTTCAGCCAAAGCGATGAATGAGTTCTATTTGAATATATGTAAAATAATTTTTTTTTGCCTAAAAAGTGTAAAATTTTGGGAATTTTTTTTCACGAACATTAATTGTCTGGCACAACGAGTCTGTGTGGAAAATGTCAGCTCGATTGGATCACGGGAAATTAAAAAACGACTGAAAGGTTTGCACGGTCGTAAGCAAGCAAGCACGCAAGCAAGCAAGCACGCAAGCAAGCAAGCGAACTTAATATAAAGGATTTAAAAAGACTGTGATACCCCTCAACATTAATATTTGTATGGATACATGTTTAAACTAATTTTAGAAACAATTGCAACACTTTCTAACTTTAAAGCAATATCATTATGGGGAAATGTCAGAGTAACATTTTTAAGAGCGACAATCCAGCTACATATATGATGCTTTCAGACTTAAGATTTATAAAGTGCATACACTATGGTAATAGGCTTAATCTAATGTAAAGCTATGACAGGCATTGTAACCTAATTATACCTTCAGTTTCATTACCTGTAAGTCGGGGCATTTGTTTCCAAGCTCCTCAAGCTGATCTTGAATATCCAAAAGCCTTTGTCGATCTTTCTGCAGCTGTCTGAGTTCCAGCTGTTGTTGCTCCAACCGGAATTTATAATACTGCTCACTACGATATATGCGAGACATGCATTAATATTTAGCAGTGCATGTAATTTGTAATTGCCTTTATAGACATCATTACATGATAAATTAAGACATCTCCTTGGCAGTTTTGTCATTGCTGGTTTCATTTAAATTTAAGCAGCAATATGTTAAGATCAGACACAAAGTTGAGTTACTCATTCAACAACATGAAGCAGACATACAAAACATTGCTTTCTTACCTAGGATTCACACCGGGGTTTCTTGTTTGGGTAGTAGGATTGGCTCTGGTGTTGTTGGGTGTCTCATTGTGAGCAGGATCGCCAATAGATAGACTTTCCATCTCTTCGGACATTTCTATTGCTTCGGGATGTTCCTAATCATACCAAACATTGAGAACGTCAGACTTATAGGTAAATGACTAAAGACTAGCTTTTGAACGTACAAACAAACCTTATAAAATACTCAATTGCATTACCTGGAATGTAGCAATTATTGTACGCAGAGTCTTGAGTCTCTCCTGCGAAGCATCAAAATTGTGCGCTCTTTCCAAGATCTCCGTTTCCTGACTCTCAGCAAGGCTGCTACGCTGGCTTTCATGATGACGACGATGTTCGTCCTCATCACTGACCCGATCCTCTTCATTTTCATCAATACTACCATTTTGACTCTGTACACTATCAGCATCCAGGTAATCCGTCTCTTCAATATCCTCCACCTCCTCTGGATTATCTGTATCAGCTACTTCATCACGGTCCTTGTCTTCATCATACGCAGAGGCTATAAAACATGTTAATAATCAGTTAACACATTACCTGCTTTGCGATGTTTCATGAATATCAATTGTCAAATAAATTAGATAAATATGAACCATTTTTAAATCCTTTATATTAAGTTCGCTTGCTTGCTTAGGACCGTGCAAATCTTTCAGTCGTTTTTTAACCCACTTCCCGTGATCCAATCGAGCTGACATTTTCCACACAGACTCGTTGTGCGTGACAATTAATGTTCGTGAAATTTTTTTTCCAAGATTTTACACTTTTTAGGACAAAAATATTATATTTAATTACCAATTGCTTAATGGTGCAATGCAATCATCTGACCCATAGGTGGCAGCCATCTCAAGCCAGAGGACGAGAGGACTCTAGCCGCCACGCATATAAAGGATTTATAGTGAAAAACTTTGTTTTTACTGGTTATACTTATTTACAATTCAAGACAAAATGTAAGATTTGTAACCTTGTGTGGAGACAGAGGGGCGTATGTTGTTCCCCTGCATAGAGAGCTGTGCTTGACTTGCTTGATTGTTGGCTCTCTGACTCGGTTGAGGTCTTGACATATTGTTGGCTACGGTCTGCTGTGTGATGTCCTGCCCCAGCCTCCTATACCAGAAAAAACACTGTTAATACATTTTCCGCTAGTTTCGAATTCAAATGTTTATTTTTTAGACACATTACTTACCGAAGGTTGTGAGTAATCTCTTGTCCTTTCTCTGAATCAAGCAAGAAGGCCTTTTCAGTATTTTCTTCCTCCTCCTCTTCATCTCTCAACTCATTTATACTCTCCGTTAGGCTGTCTGAGGCCTGTTGATAATAGCTCACCAGTTCCCGCAGTTGGTTTAAACGCTTGCGAACTTCCTTTAGTTGCCTATGGTGAATTTTAAATGTACAAACAATGGATATTGCTACCGTCAATAAATGTGAAGTGAACATCGTATTTTTGTTTAAAAAAACCCACACACATGTATCTTGTCTGAAGACGTTAAACGCATCACAGTAATATATATTTGTATTCAATATGCGATGTAATTGTTTCTGAAGGTGCTATAATCCACCTCAAAATTGTAATGTTAAAAGCCATTTTTTTAGGAGTCAGGTAGTGGAAAGTAATGCTGTAACAATTCCTGCAATTGGATTTAATAAGATCAATGCATTAAAACTTTACACAAACTGCAAATATCTAATACATTTTCACATTTGAAATATTATATAACCTGCATAATAATAGTAATAACAATAAAAAAACGTACTGCATTTTTGCACTGTGATCGAAGTTTTCATCGTTGCTGCCTTCGTTGTCCGAGGCTGTAGAAGTCAGAGGATTGAAAGATGCGGCTGAAGCGTTGAACGAAGCTGCCGGCGCCCTGTTCGTATGGTGTGTCGCACCGAAGGTGGAGCATGAGGTAAGCCGAGTGAGAGCAGGCTGCCGCACCGTTCCGCCGACTGGAGCACTGATTTGCCTCGGCAGTGCAGGGTGAGAAGAGCGATGTGACACAGTGTTTCTTGCTCCTCCGAGTGAACCTGGAAGACAAGATGTTGTCAAATTCTATTTTACATATTAAATACCTATGTAAGGATTAATACATCACTGTGTAAGCAGCATTGAATAATATAAAATATCGATATATGACATAGTAGAAAAAATACTTGTGTAGCAAGTACAAACATTTATTTAGAAATTCCAAAAGAGATCCAATAAAAACCTACAAAGTCTTTGGATTACATGGTGCAATGCAAACCACTTAAAACCACTTAGGCCCATATATCACATTAATTACAAAAAAACATGTGTTTTCTAGTCCAAGTAGTAGCAATAATTATGAATACATAATTATTGCTACTACTTATGCCCTTGCATGTCTTACTGTTGTTGAGCTCCTGGTCCTGAAGTGAGCGTAGCTCCTGCATCAGCCGGTCCATCTGCAGCTTCTTGTCCTGCAACTCCTGCAGTTTGTCAGTGAGCTCGGCCCGCTCGACTGATAGCTGCTGAGACTCTGCAGTATCCCGGCGTGCCTGGCTCACCTCCTGCGCCAACGACAGCGTGTCCGGCCCACTTGAGGCCACCGTGCGGCGGTTGTTCGGGCAGGCTTGTGATGATTGCTGCTTTGAAATGTTTTAATATAATTGAAGTTAATAAGGCACAACCAAAAAAACCAAATACATCTTACTTTGTAACCACGTACTTAGGCTGTGTCACACGCTGTTCCGACTTTTAAAGTAACTTTCTGTAGCACAATCACTGCATGCTCTAGAGGTGTCACTGGAGTGATCCAAACAACTTATACAAAATATATGCTGTTTAGTCTTGTATTAAAAAAGTACAGCAGTCACACTGCAATTACGTTACAACACCATCCACAACACCGCTCAGGTAAGTTACTCCAAAAAGAACCTCTCAAACTCATACCAGTCTGGGAAACAGCCTGTGTATACAGACACAAAATATAAACTATCTTTAAAAAAAAATAAACAGGATTACCAACACACGCAGTTCTGTCAGATTACAAGATAACTGAAGATGATATTGAGAGTTTGATAAAACAAATACTGTAATACAGTTAATAGGGTTTTCCCCCTTTTTTCTGGCAACAAAACTGACACCTTTTGCAAGAAATCATGCTTACATTAACCACAATACTTGCAGTCAAATGCAAAAAAACAATACTATGATAATTTATGCATTGTCTTTGAAACTGATTGGTCCACACTAAAGACAGCTTTCTTTAGAGCCTAGTCTCATATGGTGTTCGACAATACTTGCAGTCAAATGCAATTTGACTGCAAGTATTGTGGTTAATGTAAGCATGATTCCTTGCAAAAGGTGTCAGTTTTGTTGCCAGAAAAAATGGAAAAAACCCTATTAGTATATTTTGGTACTGGCAAAGGAGGTCCCATGATGTAGCTGCTCACCCCAAGCTCTCATTACTCTGGTAGTGCATTGTCTTTGAACTGTGCGCCTTTGGCGTCATCTGGTCGAACACCATATGAGATTAGGCTCTAAAGAAAGCTGTCTCTGGTGTGGACCAATCAGTTTCAAAGACAATGCATAAATTATCAGAGTATTGTTTTTTGTTTGCATTTGACTGCAAGTATTGTGGTTAATGTAAGCATGATTTCTTGCAAAAGGTGTCAGTTTTGTTGCCAGAAAAAAGTGGAAAAACCCTATTAGTATATTTTGGTACTGGCAAACGAGGTCCCATGATGTAATACAGTTGTTTTAATTCAGTCCAAATACCTTTGTGCCTGGCTGGCAGTTGTTAAACTTCTGCATCAACTCTGACAGCTCATCATGCAGCTCAGAGGTCAAGCTTGTGCCAGACATGCTGCCAGTTGCTTCTGTGACAACTGAAATCAAAGCCAAAGTAAGAAAACATTAACACTGACATCTGTTTCCAATTTATGCTGTACATAACGTTTAGAGATTATGAACAGGCTACAATCGAATTGAACTTACATGAGTCATCCATGCCAGTCAATGCCTGCTCGGCTCTGTGCTGTATTGCTAGCAGTGTGGCCTGCCGTCCCTCCAGCAGTTTCAGCTGCTCCTGTTGCTGCAACATTTTAGTTAGTAAATCACGTTGTTTCTGGAGGCTTTCCAGTTCCTCCTTCAACTCTTGCTCTCCACTTGTCTGAGAGGCCAAAACATAGCAGAGAGCATTCATTCCAACATTTTAACAGACACTATTAAAATAGAAATGAGGTTAAAGTGTTTGAAGAGACTGCAGCTGTTTTGTCTATAAAATGGTATGACAGGCAAGTGTATATTCTGCAAAACTGTTAAACTAATAATCATGAAGCCCTTATACAAACTATACACTTTTTTTGTTAAATTCAGTCAAGAAAGGTGAGAAAATATAATTGCATGACAAGTGTTGATAATTTTTTACCTCATGTTCAGTGCTACGGCCCACTCCATTGACTGAAGGCTCCCGAGACCAGCTTTTCCCCGGTGCACCCTGTGCCCTCACAGGCTTCAGTGGTGTAACTGTAGTGTCTGACATCTGCTCATCGGACACTGTTGCACCAAGCTTGTCCTCAATACGTGGGCGACGTCTTGTTGACTGAGACGTTCCCTTAAAACAGCAAATGTATTACCAAATCAAAAGACAAATTCCATCGACACATTTAGTAAACTTTTATTATAACCAAAGCATGCTTTGTCAGAATAGGTAACAAGAATGTATTTTTGTAAACTCCAAGTACACAGATGGGTCACATAGTAAAGTACGCTGCCATGGCTACGCCGACCCCCACTGAGCTCAAGAGATTTACATTCTGCAATCTATGGTGAACAAAGGAAACTAACAACTCAATACATCTCTATGCACTTTATATCAAACAATATTATTGGTGATGCAATCGAATAAAAAAAATAACCTTTCTTACCGTAGATTCTGAACGTTCTGAGCGTTCAGATGCCAAGGACTGGACATCGACATTTAAAGATGCGCTACCTCCGAGTGAGAATGACTCCGCAGCAAAGTCTCCATTTGATTCTTCTCCATCATTCTGCAAGAGCAGCGTGAATATTAACTTATTTTCCTCTTTTATTCCAATTCTGATGTTAGTTGTATATTTAACCTAGCCTTTCAGATGTATTGTTACCCTGTAAACTAGGTTGTTATATAAGACTTATAAAAAATGAAACAATGATTTAGATGTTGATCCGCTTACCAGCATTCTTCGGAGCAATCTCATGTAGGATTTTTCCTGCTCCTTTAAGTGAGAAATCAAGCGTGTCAAGCGATCCACTTTAGCCGAACGCTCGTTTTTCTCTAACAGATCATCCCGCACGGATGTGGCCTTCTTAATGTTGTCTCGAATCTGCATCAGTGAGCTCACCAGCTGGCTACTTTCTGGCATCACACCTGCTCCTTCTTCGAGCTGTACAAACTCAGAAAGTGGAACACGGCCTGTGCTGGACGTGGTACTGCGGCTTATTGCACCGGCGGATATAGAGCGGCTGGTGGTGGTGGTGGAGTGCAAAGGCTCGAAGGGTCCCAAAAGGGAAGGCTCGGATGAAGTGGAGCAAGCCTCTCGGCCACCACGGCTGCCCCCACCCACCGACGTGGTGCTCACTTGCTGCTGCAAGAATCGGAAGGGTTTGCGGCTCTCTGTCGGCTGACGCTGGTTGTTTGCAGCTGTAGCCCGGCCTTGAGAATCACTGCCAATGCTTCGCTGAAAGATCGATTGGAAATTGCATAATACAATAATCACATTTCATAATTATAATTAGTCACCCAATGCAGTTTTTTTTAATTAACATTTAATAGTACTTGTACATTTTAGCAGCATAAAGCCCTACTAGAAAAATTCCAAATGTTTTCTGCAAGTCATATCTATGGAACAGAATACATACAATAATTTTATACAGAACAAAATGTTTGGTGCAACTCAAAACAATGGCCTGCTTTTATATATTCAAAGATTAAAATATCAATGTAATATTAGTGTCATGTCAAGGTAATTCAGAATAATGCATATGCACCTACAGGAAACATGTTATTTTACTAATCAATCACAGGCTAGGACAAAATGCCTTCGATTTTTGTTCAACTAAACAAGCATATAGGAGAGCTATTGAAATGAACAAGTGAACTGCGAACCTCATCAACATCACTGAAGTTTATGCGCTGCTTTAAATTCTCCATTTCCATACGTTCGCTGAGGGGGGTGTGTGGGGTAAATTTAGTGCGGGGATAGGTATGAGGAGTCTTGGTTCTCCTGCGCTCCCCATCTGAGCCACCAGGTGAGCGCCCGTTCACAGTGCAGTCTTGCTCCCTCTCACTCTCCCGGTCCCTTGACTTTTCTTTCGATGAGCCACTAGAAGACCTCTTATTCTTCTCCAAAGACCGATTTGCTTGTTTAGATCTGGAAAACCAGTCCTATGAAAGAGACCGATTTGATTGCTTAGATTTAGTGTGCCAGCCCTTTGAAAGGATGTCAAATTAACCCAAATAGGATTTAGCTCATGACACATTATCCATCAATGCACAGCCTTTTAAACTATCTTTCATTTTCGCAGTCATGGTGTCAAAACTCATTTTTTCTGGTGAAATTAAAGGACAAGACATCAATTTTCATCACTTTATGTTCAAAAGTACACAATGTTCTCGAGAATATATATATAAATGTTGCCCAAGTGCAATCAGCGTCTTTGGTACACATCTCTTTGTGCTGAATTTCCATGGTAACAGTAAATACTCATTACATCTCAAATATTTTTTGCCATAAATGCTCATTTGATATAAAACAAAGGAACTACATATTTAACTATCAAGCAGAATACATAAAACAAATCCGAATCGAAAGTGTGAGATATTTAGCGACAAACACCTTTTTGATTTCAAACTAAATCTTTAATAACTATTTTAAAATGCCTTTAATTTAATCTTATGGATTCCCTATTGTATGCCATTATTGTTGATAGTGCATTACAAACCCAGTTGTTAAGTCTGTCCTCCAGGCTCCCAGCACCAGCTGCCCAGCCCAGCATGTCGGGTTCACCTGTATCATCATCATCATCGTCGTCAAAAGGAGGTAGTCCTCCAGAAGCCATTATGCCAAGCACCTGAGCATCAAAACAAAAGGGCATGTTAGTTATGTAAGCATTACCAACTAAATTATATTCAGTGTGTATAATTAGTTTGGCAGCAGAGTCAAGTGAGTCCGAGGGACGTCTGAGGATGTTAACGCCTACAATTTGAGAGTCAAGCTGTGATAATCTTTGTGCTGTTAAATTGACTATAAAATTGGATACTGTACTGTCTTTGTGCAAGTCAAATTGGAAAATATTTTATGAGTGAAACACACAGCTACCATTGGCGTAAAAGTGTATTTATGATAATACAAATTAGTAACTAAAATAAAATTCCAAAATGTCTTTCAGTCCTAATATCTGGAACCTGTAGTTCCACAAAAAAGCCATTTATAATACTTTAAATGCCCAATGAGAATATGCATCTCTTTCAAAGACGACCTGTTTTAAAAAGTAAGTAAGACTAAAATCACATACAACTACAATTTAGAAGAGTACAGCTATGGAAAAAGTATTAAAAATCCAACCGAAAATTAAGTTTTATAAAGCTATCCAACAATCGTGTTTCTGCGAAAAAAATACCTTTCAGGTAAAATTAAATTCATTTCTATTTCATGAAAGCCATCGCACTGCGCCATAAACACAATTCGTACGTATCATGTCACTGTAGGGTAAGTATATTCTGAGGTGAGAACTTTACTTTCACTGATCTCTCCAGGGCAAATGTGGGGCCGGCAACTTTGCAAGTCAAAAGCGTCCTATAGGATGTTGAAACAGAGGGCGTGCGGCATGTACGCAAAGCGTCTTTAGAAGCTCATGCCGTTGCCATGGCAAGTACTGCCTTATCCCAAACACGTCCCAACAGCAAGAGCCAAAGTGAACACCGAAATATATGACCTAGATTCGGGATCTAAAAGTCGTGGGGTGACCCTTGTTTTGCAAGAGTTCGACGTATTTTGAACCAAGAGGGGGAGAAGAAAAAAACATTTACGAGAGAGAAAAAAATGTAAATGAAGCCGCAATTTGAATTAACAAAGGAACGCCACCAAAGTTGCATACAACGAGCGGCGTATTTAGCGGCTATAAGCGTTCCCGTTCAGGTTTTATTTATAAATCCGAACAAAAGTTAAACAAAACTGAGGCCACACATCACTTGACAAGCACGGACACAGCGATGTAGTGATGAACTATTGAAGCAATCACGATCACAAAGAATCTGCTCTGATTTCACCACAACCCGCTTCTCCAATTACAGTGGCGCCAAACATTATTACCGTGTACAATTATGCACTGTCGGAGCGAACTAAACTAAATAACACATTTAATTAACAAACTTAAATCTGTTGTGACATGTGGCGTGCACAAGTATGCACAATGCGGTACTATACTGAGGCGAACAAAGGTAAAAGTGGTTTAAGTACATTTAGCCACGATGACAGTCAAATGACACGTTTTACAATAACTTTGAAATAAAAGGAATGTTGTACAATATTAATAAAAAAATAAACATTTATAAAATTCAAAGCAATTAAGTTATACAATGCAGCACTGCTATAACAATGTAGCCCTTAAGCGTGACATGCATTGCATTAATCTACGCCCATCCAAATAGGGTTGTCTTACACAACTTGAACAATGCTGTCGATAGTTTAATGAAATAACATTTATAATTACGTTGACATGTGCAAGTGTAAAATGACAACAGGAGCAGCATTAACTCGCCCCTTGCATTAGCAACTCTCAAAGTTAAGCAACGAAGAAACGCAAATTGACACAAATGCAACTACGAAATCAACATCACCTCAACGCAGCAATATCGGACAATGACTGTGCTAATAATCACCTTTTAAAACTCACGTTAATTTGAATCGTTAACTAAATATAGCGACGAGAAGTAAAACACAAAGTAGCTGGACTGGGCAAACTAGGCCCGGGTGACACGTTTTTTAAAAAGACGGTCGCACACATTCTCACAATGCTTACCCACCGAATGCACGACGGGCTCCAAAAGTCTACGAGATATAATTCAACCTTCTTTTTATCGCACCGATAAAAATAAACTAAGTTTGACAACGAAGACGAGCTTCCTCCTCACAACAAAGAGGTCGCGGCTTCAGCTCTCGGTTACCAACACCAAGCACGCGGCCGCCATATTGTTCGTAGCGCGCATTGAGACATTGTTTACATGGTAACCAGCTATAAACCTCACAATTCGCACACTTATAAAACTATTCACCCATCTCAATAAGAAGGTGAAATTCGCATTTTTCTCAGGGTCGGCGACGGGCGAATGAAATTCTGGGTTTCGAGAAGATAATCTTTGTTTAAAGTGCGCACTATTTCTCGGGGTCGGAGTGACACAAACGACCGGGAGTGAGCGAGAGGGCCCTCGTGGCGGGAGTTTTGCCACCAAAAGTTGTTGGTTTGAGGTTGGAACGGGGGCCAGCTGGTGGTTTATTTAAATTGCTTAACATGAATAGATTGGCGGTTAAAAAAAAAATCCACGGCAGCATTTGTAAGGAATTGTATTTTTTTTTGACAAAAATTACATGCTGTAAATACAGCATCTATTTTGTGTTCATTAAAGGGTTGACAACGGGAGTTTTGCCACCAAAAAGTTGTTGGGTCGAGATTGGAATGGGGGCCAGCTGGTGGTTTATTTAATTTGCTTAACATGAATAGATTGGCGGTTAAAAACAAAAATCCACGGCAGCATTTGTAAGGAATTGTATTTTTTTTGACAAAAATTACATGCTGTAAATACAGCATCTATTTTGTGTTCATTAAAGGTTTGACAACGGGAGGTTTGCCACCAAAAAGTTGTTGGGTCAAAGTGGAATGGGGGCCAGCTTGTGGTTTATTTAAATTGCTTAACATGAATAGATTGGCGGTTAAAACAAAAATCCACGGCAGCATTTTTAAGGAATTGTATTTTTTTAGACAAAAATTACATGCTGTAAATACGGCATCTTTTTTGTGTTCATTAAAGGCTGATGCAATCAATGGGATTTCAGTGCTGATTCACTTGTCAAAAGTTTCCTAACATTAAATGATTAACACGAAAACTGTATACGCCACACATGAATGCCATGTTTAAAACAAAGAGACTTGCCATTATACAAAAAATATACGGCAGCATTTCTGAGGGATTATTGTATGTGAACAAAAAAACTTTCTGGAAATCCACAACCGAATGTGTGTCATTTAAATGAACGGGATTTCAGTTTTGCATTATTTTACCAAAATCGTCAACATTCGAGGGTTTGCAGTTATTCACAATGCAGTGAATGAACTTTACTCTTTGGTTCTTTCAGTAAAGTCACGTAGGTGAAAAAAAAATGAAAATACCTAATTTTTTTAAATAATACAAATGAAAATAACTACATATTTTCATTTTTATTTATTTGTATTCTTTTTATTTTCCCCTACGTTACTTTACCGAAAGACCCAAAGAGTATTCATCCTTGCAGTCACGAAAACTTCAAATTTAGAATGAATGAACTTTATTCATAAGGCAAAAGTCACTTTCACAAGGGAAACCGAAATTGGGAACTATGGTGCAACATTCACTTTGTATAGTAGGTAGACCACCTCATGCTTCATCACAGCATTAATAATTATAGGTTCTCGCAAGCTGCACTTGTTCCAACAATAACACATTCGTCAATAGTGCTACCTTAAACAAAAAACTCAGTAAGGGGCCATCCATTTAGTACGGACGCATAGAGGGGGGGGGTGAAGTCTCAATAATAATGTGTCTACATTGGCCTTCAAATGAGTTAGATAGTCCGGCTGTGGACGATCTGTTTGCTTAAACATGTTAATATTATTAATCCTTTATCGTTTCTGCGTGGATTAAATATCGGCCGTTCTATAGGATTTGCAGGTGGGGTGTAAAAAGTCCGCGTGCGTACAGGGAGGGGGTGAGGGGTCAAGTGGTGACAGATTTTTGCTGCCTACTAAATGTATGGCCCCTAAAAGGCCACGTCTTGGGCAAATTGCCCTTCTTCGGGCAATGTTACACAAGTACGTCTTTATTGTCAAAGTAGTTTTGTTGAAAGCAGCATTATTGACGAAGGTCTTCGGTTTTTTTGTTGTGCTTGTGTACCATAATCATGAAGTAACTCGCTCCAACAGTCTGTTAAAGGCTGTGTATAAATATGCATGGAGGTTATAATTGAGCAATCAGGGCATGTTTACTTCAGGGGCATTATTCATCATTGTCACCTGTACGCACATACCTTTTTTTACGAATGTAGGACCAAGTAGTTCACCTTTTTCCCTTACGTGCTTTACAAGCACTTGATGATTAAGTCACCCCGCCTCTTCATTATTGCCTTCAATCATAACTTCACAGCCCTTTTGTGAGTCCACTGCTAAATGCGGGCCTCCCAATGCCTGTGAGGTGCATAGAGGCTCTTGGACCATGCTGCATCATGCTGGTCAGTGAGCTTACCTGTCAACCCATACGGTTTACCCGTATTCTTGTACAGGGAAATTGAGTTTTCAATACGAACAACATTTTTTTGTCTATTCCTTTGTGTTTCTCCCTTGTGATGGAACTTTTGTAAGATGAACGTTCAGATGTATCAGGGCATGGGGTGACCAATGAGGTCTGAAGTGGTCCGTAATAAGGTAGGGCACTGATAAGGGGTTGGCAGGTATGAGTGTGGCTTAGTGAAGGCAGGGGGAGGCATAGATGTGGACACATTGGCGTACAGTACAACCATGTATTTTTCTTCATTGTGCTCTCGACTGCCCACCATGTAGCCCTGGACAGAAACGTTAGTGTCATTTAAACCCAAGCAAGTCTCCCTGGGAAACAAATATTTGTGATCGCAATGGCCTCCTAAGGTTTTCTCGGTATAGAAAAAAATGCAACTAAAATGCTAATACTTTATTATTTTTCCTAAAAACTAGAATAATTTAGGACATTTGGTATGTATATCATTCTCATGGTGCAATGCTCTCACGGAGGCGCTGTGATTAAACACACAGATGTCTGCCAGTAGGAGCCAATGTTTTTGTTCTACCCAATTGCTGGCATTTGCAGGCAGCAATATTTCAATTGTGGACCATGCTGTTGCCATACTCCTCATCGTTCTGCCATGCCACAATCAATCTCACCCTGCACAATAACTGACATTACAGCTCCATCTTCAAAGTGATCATCCTCTCGAGTAAAATTTCTTTCTTGGCTGCCATTCCACCAACCAGTCTTGGCCATAGGCCATCATCCCATCTTGCAATGTTTCCAGCCCAACCAATCACCCTTACTTACCAAGTGTGGTTGAACAGGATAATGTCCCGTTTTGAATGTATCCTTTCTAAAAATTCCTGCACGCACTAGTGCCTTATGTAGTGCATGGTAAAATGTTGAGAAAACAAATGTCCAACACACGGCCGGCCTTACCCAGACGATCACACTTGGATTACAGGTGGCTGCAAAACCCTATGTGGCTACTTACTATCCTTAACAGTTAAGATGACGCCTGCATTTCATATTCAGGTGCTCTCCTTTTAGTCTCTCATTGTAATTCATTTCTTTGTGCAGCTTTCAGCTGTTGTTCTATTTTGTCAGTGTCCAAGTTCCTGATCCATCCATCACGGCTGGCAATATGCACTAATAGAAAACGTTACTCATCTGGCACAATGATGTGATGTTTTTCATTATCAAATGAAGCTTTCCAAAAGCCCTCCAGCCTGCTATTGTTCATCTCTTTATTGTATTGCTTTGATCTCAATCCAACTTACATTGATTACCTGAGATATAAACGGTACAACGTCTGCTGTGTTTACCTCGTCTGCAAAACAACAACAACACAGTTAACACAACACTGTGGTTCAGGATATGGCATGACTTTAAATGATTCTAAACAACATTAAAATCCCTACACAGAAAATTATGAATAGACGTCACCACAATACATAATGAACTAGCATTATAACAGACAGTGCACTAACGATTGGGGGTAAAGTAAAAAAAAAACACAGTCGCGTTTTCTGAAATCATGAACAAAAGTATGCCACTGAAACATATAAAAATAAATACGGTGACCTGCAAAAGAATAAGGAATCATCAATATGGTGTTGAAAATAACAGTAAACACCTTAAATTTTATTTAACCCTGTTCAGAAATGTAAATATACAAAGTTAAAGCAATGTATCGTGTAAAACGATTAAACGTTGTTACTTCAATAAATGTACTTATCTCCACAACATTTTGCTGTAAAATGTTTGAAAATTACGGAGTATTTCCATTTTCCATCCTGAAATCAAGCACTATATAGTGAGGTGTGGACAAATGTAAAGCACATACAGTATTTCAAGGGGTTTAAATAGGCCTGTAGACAATGTCACAACTGTTCAGATGTTTCCAATAAACCACGAGCAGTGAGTGATGACTCGGTCAGGAATGAAGTCTGGTCTGGAGCACTGGTAGAAAAAATACGGGAATCCCATTTTTAAAACCTGAGTCACACGACTGTAACTTACAAGCCATTGCAAGTTCACAAAGGCCAACATCTCTGTTTTAATTGTTCAAATTAGACAAATGGCAGTAGTGCACAAGCACAGAAAACAAAAACTTACCACGTTCGCTATTTACGCTGCCAAATTTTCGTTTGACTTTAAGGGCATGTATTGATTGTTTTTTAAAGTATGTATCCCTGAAAATGTAACTGCAGTCCAGGTATATCCACATCCAAGTGAGAAACCAAGCTTCATTGTTCAGACCAGTGAGTTTAAAATTCAACAGACAAGCAAACAATACGTATCTGTCACATATCTGTCTCTCTACAATATACACAAATGTTTGTTTACACAATATACTGGAATTCGATCTTCGGTTCATGTTCGGCTTTAATTCCTTGCAAGCCTCGCATTCGACCAGTTGGGGGAGCCCTCTGCTCTCAAGAACCACGGCCACGAGTCGACGGGTGGGTGCCAACAAAAATACTAAAAATCACACACGCATGCTTAAAACCAGGGCGGACACAAAATGCGAGTTTCAACCTTTCCCCAAAATAAAATAAACCCACGGCCAAACAGAGAGACAAACCACACAGCCTCTTCCCGGTCAAACACCGACTCGCTTTATCCAGGTAACCAAACCGGGGTGACTTTTCAAAAAATCTCATGAGAGAACCACAGTTGTAGGAAAGGGGCATATGCGGTAAACCAAAAAAGCCACCAGCCTCAATCCGCCCACCAAACTCAATCCACCCACCCACCTCAATCCGCACACCTCAATCCGCCCACCTCAATCCAACTACCAACCTCAATCCACCCACCTCAATCCACCCACCTCAATCCACCCACCTCAATCCACCCACCTCAATCCCATCACCAAACTCAATCCACCCACCCACCTCAATCCACCCACCTCAATCCACCCACCCCAATCCACCCACCTCAATCCACCCACCTCAATCCACCCACCTCAATCCACCCACCTCAATCCACCCACCTCAATCCACCCACCTCAATCCACCCACCTCAATCCACCCACCTCAATCCACCCATCTCAATCCACCCACCTCAATCCACCCACCTCAATCCACCCACCAAACTCAATCCACCCATCTCAATCCACCCACCTCAATCCACCCACCCCAATCCACCCACCCCAATCCACCCACCTCAATCCACCCACCTCAATCCACCCACCTCAATCCACCCACCTCAATCCCACCACTAAACTCAATCCACCCACCAACCTCAATCCACCCACCAAACTCAATCCACCCACCCACCTCAATCCACCCACCTCAATCCACCCACCTCAATCCACCCACTCACCTCAATCCACCCACCCACATCCACCCACCCTCAATCCACCCACCTCAATCCCACCACCAGAGAGCCCTCCCCCCTACCCCACCACCACCACCAATACAGTAAGTCCGTGTTCAAAGCCCAGCCTCCCACGGAGGCCACCCACCCACCCATCACCAACACGCCCCCGTGCGGGCGGAGAAAGCCCCGGGCAGCCAGCCAGCCAGCCGGAGGAAGGGGGATCGGCCTTACGGCTCATGGAGGAGGAGGAGGTTGTGGAGAGCGGCTTTCTGTGCTCGTCCGTCGTGGAGTAGAGAAGCAAACCCCGTGGCTTCCGGACACGCCGTGTAGAGAAGAATAAATAAAAAGCCGTCACGTCTCCCCCCCGCTCCACTTCTCAACGCCGCCACCACCTCCACCAAGCCAACCAAACCCCGCTCCCTCCTCCACCACCACCACTACTACCACCCCCATTGTCTACGTTCTACGCACTCCGATCAGCCGCGGCGAGCAGGGAGAGAAGAATTATCAACCATCATCATCACCATCATCACCACCATCATCATCATCACCGTCGTCTTCCTCCTCCGGCTCGTCAGCTGTGCTGTGCAGTCGCCATGCAGCCGAGGTTACGCACGTCTTGAAGCTCTTATCTATTGATGGTCGCCGTCTCTTCTTCTACTGCTGCTGCTGCCGGAAGATTATAACGAGGTTTGGTAACCGGCGACGCTTAAGCGGCTACCCGGCACAACTTTGTCTCGTTTATTCACTTGATTTTGTTGTTGTCGACGATTTTTGTTTTAAACTAGGAGAGGCTTAACCAGAGGAATTCTCTCGATGTGTTCGGTGTCGCAGAACTCTTTGAATCGACGACCGAAGTAGCAGGCCGAGTAACAGATTGCATGTTGATACAAAAGAGGAAATTGATGCAACAATTGACGACAATTGAACCCTTCCACCCAATGTATGTAGGAATTGTCGCGAGGATAAGTTCAATTGCGATTCGTATGCCGTCACCGTGAAGAATAAGAAGAACGTCACTTCATTGTAACACATTCTACATTAACAACAGTGTTGCCAACAACAGAGCTGATCGTTGTTTGTGCCCTCCTCCCCCCCACCACGAACTGCGCCTTGTTGTCTCTCGTGCCGTCTTCTCAATTCGTCTCCTGGAGATTCTGGGTAGGTGGAGGAGGAGGGGGCCTTTGTGCATTTGAGTTGGCCGGAGAGAATGGCTCTGACATTGAGGTGGAGTTCCTCAACCACCCTCCTCCTCCACGGCTGCGATTCGAGCTGCTCGGGTTTAATTGTGTAGACAGATCTTCTTCTCCATACACGGCAGAGGAAGAGGAGAAGGAGGCCCCTTTTGTCGTCGTCGTCGTCGAAGCGATGGGCGAACGAGCGATTCCATGAGTCAGGAGGTGGACAAAAGAAAGGCGAAGATCGTCATGGACGGAGTTGACCTCTCCGTGACATTTGCCGTCGTGGCACGAGAAGGACAATAAGCGAATTCTCAGCCAAATATTCACAGGTCGCCCACGAAAGCGCAGCCATGGACGAGTCATCTCTGCTGGACCTTCTGGAGTGCCCAGTGTGTCTGGAGCGACTCGACTCTACGGCCAAGGTGCTGCCATGTCAGCACACCTTCTGCAAGCGGTGCCTGCAGAGCATCGTCTCGTCCCGGCAGGGTGAGCTTCGGTGTCCAGAGTGTCGGACCCTGGTGCGCTCCGCCGTCGACGATCTTCCCTCAAACATCCTCCTGCTTCGTCTCCTCGATGGGATCACGCGTGGAGGTCACGGCCCTCACATCTCGCCGGGTCAGCCCGGAGTTGCTGCCGTGGTGCCAGCCAGGGTGAACAGGGCAGCCCGTTTGGCAGCAGCAGCCATGGTGGCAGGGACACCGTTGTCCAGCAATGGGGCTTTGCCGGCCCAGACCCTCAGCAGAAGTGCCGCCTCTGCTGCCAACAAGGTGAGCCGGAGTTGAGCCGTGCGTGTCACTACCGTGTGCTTCATGATCAACGTTTTTTGGGTTTAGATCGCGTTATTTATAAATGATGAGTTAATGATGACGGCACCCTGCTGCTGCTCTATATAAGAACGGGAGACACAGCAGAGCCTCACCATTCTGGCGAATTGCTCGATGATGCTGGATGCAATTACCAGCGAAACGTCGTACTCAAATTGTAAATGTTGTGGTTTCACGCTTCAACACACCGGTGGGCTAAAGCAGTGAACTATTTGTCTTTTGTCAACGTGACACTTTTTTACTGATTGGCCGTGTCGGGTGGTGGAGGGTTACGACACATTTATAAATAACGCGATCTAAACCCAAAAACGTTGATTATGAATAATATTGGTCGCGAAAGCCTACGTGTTAAACTACCGTATGCGTCGTCGTCTTCCTGTGTTGTGTTGACTCGATCTTAAGTCGGTCAACCCATTAACAGCCAAGGATCGGTCACTTCAAAACCACCCGCCTGTCAGCGAGCCTTCGACACTTCACGTGGCCTCGAGGTGCACCTAGCCAGGCACCTGCCAATTGGTGGAAAGGGCGATTTGTTATGTGTGTATGCATACTTTGTATTGTTGATTGCAGACTGTACCCATGGTGTGGTTATCATCTGTGAATGATCGCCAACACGTGTGTGTCCCTAGTGCCTTCCGCCTTTTAAAATCCATGTTAATACTGTAACGGCTGTTGACCCTGAAGTTTCCACTGAATTTACCAACTATTCCTACTATATATTTCACGTAGAAAACATCTGATAACGGCTCGTTTAACACAGACAACCACGACTGTGTTAAGCAGACCATGATGATGATGCTCTACAAGGTCTGGCAAGCTCAAATTTGGCACATATTTCGTGAAACAAATACAAATTTGAAGCAAAATTTTAATTTGGGCTCCGAAAAATTGTGGTGCAGAGGTTGATTGAATTGCTTTAACTATTGTGATGAACATTTGTAAATATCCATAATCCGTGAACCAAGTAATTTGTCTCCGGTGCAGTGTGACACTAAAAAGCTGATTGACTGCATACGAAACCTGCTATTGGTTACAAGTAATGAATACTGTTATATATTACTATCCTCTTAGCACACTGGCCCAAGCAAGTATAATTATTCACCCAGTAATGTCATCAACCTCTCAACATCCCTCCACTAAACTTAATGATACTGCACTGCCAGAGGAGTTCCTCTGCCCAAAATCCAAACACTTTTTCCTCCCAAAAAATACACAAACCAAGCTCAAAATGCTCCACGAGCCAGCCCCCCTTAATATTGTCCAGTGCTTAAATGGTGTCAATCTTTCATGTTTGAACAATCATGTACGACGTTCAATGAGTGTACGGCAGATATCCCTAGAGCCTGTGTGAGTACATGCTGTGAAATGTATACTGTGGGGAAGGACTTGTGGGGGACGCGAGTTTGATTCTTGGTCAGTGGGCAGTGGTATCTGATGTAATCCAGTTTCCACTCCTTTAACCAACAATGACAAATATGGTCAACCATGGGCAAATAACCCCCAATGACTGGCACGGCATGGTGGAGATCTCCATCTCACATTGGATGGACAAAGGATTGAACACTTATTACATATTCTGTGATACAAATAAATGTTGATTAGTGCTACGAGGTGCGAAATTTGCTTTGTGACTGCCTATATTTGGGCACGTCTGACCCAATGGCCATATTTTATTGGCGGTGAAGCGTGGCATGAAAATTTGTGCGATTTAATTATCGCATATACCGGCATGGGACAGACTAGTGTATTAAGGTGATGCATCCAGGATTACATTTAAACATAAGGTATTCAGCGCACAGTAATTGTGTTTGCGATTTCAATATACAATATACAGTCTGCTGCATCATCAGCGGCATGCACTATATTGGTGTATTGGGAGCTTTTCCATTAAGACTGGTGGAAATAATTATGTGCAAGCATGATTGTGTTTTCAGAGATTAACCCAAACCAAAGTCCGATTATTCCAACGTGTCAGCTCAGATTTTCCTGACTGCCCAAGTCAAATGTGGCTAATCAAATTAATGCACCTTCCAGGATTTGCTGTCTTTTCTTGAAATTAACTCAAATGGCCACAACTAACACTGCACCATCACAGCTGGAACCTCCAACATATACAAGTGGCACTTTACTGCCACTTGTGTTTCACAATCCTGATGTCCTTTCAATATCAGGATGTAGGAACAATTACAATTACTGTGCCTCTTTTAGTTTAATTAACAATTTAACACGTTAAGGGCGTTTTGTTAATCTCGCAATAATCTGCTGCAAATGATACATTTCACAGCGTGATATATTTGACGATATGCACTTCTCATTATGAGCCCATTGCGTGTGCTCTGGGAAGTTATTATCTCGGTTATGTCATTTGAAAGAAGATTTTATTCCAGTTAAGTTGTTTGGTTCAACATGCGGCATCAATGGCAAAGCCGTTTGCTTGAGTGGCTGGTGATGTAATCAGAAGTGCCGATTGCTGCCCGCATAATGGCTCCATACGAACAAGCTCTCTCTGCAGGTCATTAGACTGGCATGTGGCATGTCTAATTCTGCCAGCAGCAACACTCGGCTTGAAAAGAAGCATTCATGAAAATTAAAGGGTGCTGTGAACAGCTAGGCTTTGTAATGGACTCATTATGAAACCTGCTGTGTGACGTGGCAAGATCGTGTGTGACGTCACGCGCAGACTGCCACGCTGAGATTGAATGTATGACACCAGAGACATAAGCCCATTCAATGTTTTTGAGTTTTAAGTGTCAGGTTTAAATGTTGCTGAGTGTATAATATGAGCCTTCCCAATAGTCTGGATTAGTTTATTTGCTCTACACAAGCTAACATAAGCCGTTTGTGTTCTGTTTGATTAAAATTGGGGTCTGCCAACTTCAGAATCTGTATGAATACTGGAGGAATCCAATGCGCTTGAGGTATCTTTTTCACAGATGTCCAGTAGAGTTATTTTTTTACAAGTTGTTAACGAATACATCATTGTAAAACAATACAATTTTGCTGTGGAACATTAATTGTGCATTGGTATCCTCGCGATGTCAATAAATATGTGAACGAAGGGGAGAAGTTACGAGTGAAATAAGAATGCATTTCACGTGGTTAATTGTTGCCTTTGGTTTACATTGACCTGAATACAATGAGAATTGTGGGGAGATCCTGTTACCTGTGCGCCACGGTGCAACTCGTGCATAGTATGCTGTCATCTGTGGTGAAATCAGAAATTCTAAGGGGGACGCAACACCATTTGAATGAACCATATTGAACACATTGGTTTGAAAATACAGTATTTAAAACAAAAATGTACAGCACTTGTAATAATTCATGTCAATTATATATCATGAATTATAGTTTTTTTCACACAAATATTACAATGTAGATTGGTAATTCTGCTTTAAGCTCAAACCAGTTACTTAAATAAAAAAAGATATCACCCAAATATTTTAAAAGAAAAACATGAAAGTTGCATGCTACATGTTATTCCCCTCGCGTGTAAGGACAGAACAAAACTTGTTCGTACAGAACATGCATTGCTTTATCTTGGAAAAAGTCCAACTGACATTGATACACAACGATGTTTGATATGATAAAGGTAAGTCCTTGTGTGAATACATGCATATTGGGTGTCATAATTATATGCCACGTCGCCTACATGTTCAGGAGCAGATATAGTCTATTGGTACAGTAAATTTAGCTGTGACGGTCCCACATGATGACGGAGACTTGTGTTGCCTCTGAAACGTCGTGATTTATTATTTTATTTCTATTAATATTTAAACTGTTATTTATTTAAAATTTTCACCTACGTGACTTTACCGAAAAAACCTAAGAGTAGCAGATAGTCGTCAAGCATTGATGCCAAGGATATTTTCTTGGCCAAAAGATAACAGATATTTTTCATCTACCTATGTTCATTTGAGTTAATGCTCTTAAATTGCTATATCTATTTCAATCAACTACTGAAGCAGGCAGTAATGGCTACAGCAGTTGCATTAATCATTTTGAATGGCTTCATAGATTCTGCATCTTTAATATTCAACAGACATGTAAACTATTTACTCCCCCCCCCCCCACCAGCAGCTTCATGATTTGCAGTTTTTGTCTTGTTATTTACCGCCTCTTACATTATTAAAATTTCATTCTGTCATATTTGTACGGTTTAATTTGATACTTAAGAATTTGAGTAACAAGAGTTATTTTTGCATTCGTTGCAAATGATCACACGCACAATTCAACACGTGTGTTGTGAGTGTCTGAATCAATTTTATTTGATGAATCAATGTGTCGTTACACACCTGGTATTCATATAAGCATGCTGGGATGACGAGTGTTCATTTAATATAGAGTCGTGCGAGTTTGAGGCCTTCACACAGTGGTAGCTGGATCATTTCTTCTGCTGTTGAAGCAATGCGAGCCAAAATGAGAATGCAGGTAAAGATTACTGAGTAGTGAATGGCAGTGGCCCTTATTTTGTGGGCCATGATCCCTTGGTAAGTCGGTGTGACTGTGGGTCCCGAGTGACATAATGATGCACATTTTCCCCCTTTGTCAGTTAATGTAGAAGTGGGTGTCTTTAACAATGCAGAACATATGACAGAGAAGAGCACTGAGCAAGCTTTATGGATGAAAACATTAACGGTTTTTGCAGATTCCCAGAATTTTATTTTGAAAGAGACTTAAGTTGAAAAGGTAGCTGGCTACATCGTTGTCTGAAAAACACAAGGCCAATGCACCCCTCGTGTTTTCAGACTAACACCCTGACAACGATGTTTTTAGCTCGCAGGCTAACGTCAGCCTGCTGGTGTAAAACTGTCACACTTGTAGAATCACCTGGCAGCCTATCAAGTAGGGGGGAGGAGTGATTAATACCACACCACCCCCCCCCCCCTCTTGGGGCGATTCAGTGATGTACCTTTGTTCAGATTGTGATTCGATTAAATAATTGG